ATCTCATCTCATATTATCTCATCTCATATTATCTCATCTCATATCATCCCATACATCCTCCCTAGATTAATTCATAAACTCATTACCCCCCTCCTCCTCCCCAGCTTCCCCCCTAAATAACCTTCACAAACCCCACCTCCACCAATCCCTCCACTGGCAAATCTAAATCCGCCATCTTCCCCCTGCTATTCTCGCGAATCCACAAGAACACCCACAAGACCGCTCTGCGGAGCCAATTCTTCGCGCCGCTCCCCTCGCGAATCTTCATCTGTTCTTTGCCAAGCACGTAGACGATTTGGTTCGCGGCTGCGGTGCTGATGCTGTCGAGTTCTTTTTGGATGGCGGGCGTGTGCAGGATACTTGTTGCGGGGGAAGTTTGGCTTGGCGATTGGGATTGGGATGGGGATTGAGATGGGAATTGGGATTGGGATTGAGAATGTGGAGTTGATGGAGCGGGGGAAATGAGACTTCTCTGCAGACCCGAAAAGGTCCCCGGATCCCGCGTGATGAAGAGGGTGAGTTGGGATATCAGGGTGGCGCCGATGGACGGCGTGATGATATCGTCGGTATAGCCGTGGCGAATGGTGATACGGTAACAGCCCGGGATGGAGGTGCGCTGCACGACGTAGCGTTCCTCGTCTGGGACGTGGGGAACGGACAGCGGACGCATGTGCAGAAAGATGATGATTTCGGGGGTGGCGCAGAATTTGCGGACGAATTGGGTGAAGACGATGGGGAGCTGGTCGCCGATTTTGTCGAAAAAGATGCCGACGCTGGGGACGGTGGTGATGGGGTGCGAACCGTATGCGGCGGTGAGCCAGGAGGTGCGGGAGTCGGAGCCGAGAGAGCTGGTCATGAAGCTGGAGGGGGGAATGCGGTCTTGCGCTTCAGAGGTCCATTGTTGTTCTTTGCCGTAGCGCCAGAGCACGAAGATGCAGGAGAGGATGAAGGCGAGAAGGAGCGTGAACCATGCGCCGGTGGGGACTTTGATGAGGGCTGAGGAGAGGTAGACACCGTCGAGGGCGGCGAAGACGAGGAAGAAGATGAGGACTACGATGACGTTTACGCGCCAGATTATTATGGCGACGAGAGAAACCATGCAGGTTGTTATGAAGGTTACGAAGATTACGCAGACGCCGTAGGCGTTTCCGAGACGTGTTGTCTAGTGTTGGTTTAGTACCATGTATGGAGTCTTAGGTTGGGTGGGTATGAAAAGGAGAACTCACGTCACTGTATACTGCGGTTACGACGACTGTACCGATCATAAGTAGCCAGTTTGCAAGTGGCATATATACTTGTCCGTGAAATAGCTTCGAGGTATGAACGGTTTTGATGTGTGGGAAATAAGATAATCTCATGACCTGTGATAGCAATTGGAAACTTGCTGTAATCATAGCTTGCGAAGCAACAATCGCGGCTAAAATTGCAATGACAAGAGAGAAATCTGAATTATGTTAGTCGAGCTTCACTACCGGTAGAAGATGCCTGTATAACTTACAGAATGTCCCGGGCGGAACCGTATTAAAGAAAGGATTTGTATAAGCAGTTTTCGTAACATCCTGAGATATATATGCAGCTTGTCCAATATATGCCAATAACAAACAAGGATAAGTGAAACCCAGCCAAGAAATTTGAACAGCTCTTTTACTGAACGCGCCCAAGTCTGCAAAGAGTGCTTCGACTCCGGTAAATGCGAGTAAGAGTCCGCCGAGTGATTTCCATCCTTCCTCTTTGTTTCGCATGAAGTATTGTCCTGCAAAATAAGGAGAAAATGCTTTGAGAACGGTGTGGTCGTATTGAGCTAAATTGTAGATACCAGTGCACATGTTGAATAGTAACCAAATCATAACAATCGGAGCAAATGTGGTTGCGATTTTTGTAGTTCCGAATGGTTGAATAGCAAAGAGTAGAATGAGGATCGCGCAAGTAGTGCCGACGATTGTGCTGGTGCTGATATCTGGTTGTGCAACTTCAATTCCTTGAATGGCTCCTAGTACAGATTGGGCGGGTGTTAAGATTCCATCACTGGTAGTTGTTAGAGGGGTAGCTTCTTGTGCCTTCACCTTGAACTTACGACATAACCATACTAACACCTAGCACACCCAAGAATTTTAGAACCACTCTAGCAACTGCGGAGCCCTCGATAAAATTTCGTACATTTTTATTCGAAGCTTTCAGATCATTCGTTTGATAACGTTCCATCTTGACCATTCCGGAGATATTCGGGTCTAGTCGAACAATGTGTGCGTAACGGGCTAGTAAACTGTATAGAGCGAATGTTCCTCCTTCCCCATCATCGTCCGCGGATAATACGATGAATACATATTTGACCGATACCATAAGTGTGAGGGTCCAGATAATTATGGATAGGGCGCCCACGAGATCTTCGTACGACGGGTGACTTGTAAAAGTTGAAGAGTAGACATATAAGGGACTTGTGCCTGTGATAAGAATGGTAAGTTATTGTGGTTTCTTGGCAGGGGAAGCGAGAACATACCTATATCTCCGTAAATGACTCCAGTACTTTGATATGCCAGCCACATAAGCATCCATCCAGTATATGTCTAGGAGAGATTAGAATGAGCAAAATAGTATGAAGAGTCGCCTGCTGAAGAGAGACGCGAGATCCCCAAAAGCGCAAATATAGAACTGAGACCCCCCGGAACTGATTGAATGTTAACTAATCACGTACCTGTTTCTTCTTCTTGTTCAAATCTTCATTAGCAATCTCTAACGCCTTCTCCTCAAAGTCATAACTAGATGCCATCTGAGATACTTTGGATTCCGCTAAAACATCACCAAATGCCAATCCATTTGATCTGTTTGACCTAACAGGTTTTATTTCATCTCGGAACTGGATGTGCTGAGGCGAATCTGCCATCTTAGTACCAATGCTCGAGAATTATGTTTGTCCTCCGCTCGGGCTATTGATACAATCCGAACAAGTGCTGGGGAAGCTGCACTCGGAGAGGAAATCAAATGTACAGGAAGCGATGAAATGGTAAAAGATTAATAAGCATAGAAGAAAGTTTCTTATGATACCTACCTAGCCATGGGAATCTGAATTCACTTATACAATACCTAGACACACTGATAACGACTCTATTTTTTTTTTCTTCAGTCTCATCCCACCTCGAGATTTGGAGATCATGCTATCCATTGGCCAATTGCCCATCCGCCAGGGGTACACTGATTAGATTCCAAGGGTCCTCAAGGGTAGATATCTCTACAATTGACATCCCCACAGCTGACATTGAACTATCAATGACACCTGAGCTCGATTCACTGTGATACCATTGACAATTTGAATTAATCACTGGATTTGGTCGTCTTATCTTAGAGGATTCAAGCCATGAACTTTTTAATGAGGTACAAAATTATGAAATTTCTTATCCTCGCCTTCGGATTCGAGCAGGCTAAAATCCCTCATGTATTACAAAAATGCCTCATTTCCAGCTCCACGCCTCTTGCGGCAAGAACCAACATTGCGAGGGTGATTCCGAGGTTCATGCACAAGCGAGAATCAATCTGGGTGATACTGCAACTTGGTGGCCTTTTGTGGCGGAGTAAGATGTATGATAATGTGATGTTGTGATATCTACCTACCTAGGTAATGTGTTTGTATAATGAAGATTCAGCTCTGATGTATGTTGGACGTACATTGCACTCCATCCGGATTATCTATTATACCAATAGATTATTCAAGCCTTGATTCTTGCAAGGATAGATATCAGAGCTGCCTAGTTATCTTTGAGGTAGTAGTCATTTCACAACCAATTGTTTAGCTGTCGAGGTTATTTGGAATGGGCTATTCACCGCCTTGAGATTCTGCCACATCTTCATTTCTTAGAAAATCTAAAAATAATGCTGAACACTGTGATGTAAATCTACATCTTTTTGTGAACATTACCTGCGTTATCGCGACCCAAATATGTTCCTTTCTATCCTTGAATCAACCGGTCGTTACACTTCTTGTAAATCCACAGCCAAACTGTTGGATTGAAGATACAAAAATGGCCACTCCCTCATGGCTGTATATGTGAGTACAGTTGCAAAGGATAAATCAACGAGTTGAGAATTTATATACACCTCTCATGTCAGGTAGACCCATGCTTTACATCGTCTTGAATACTCCGCCATGCCACCTCTCACGCTTCTGAACTTCTCCATCAAAGAGGTACTCATCGTGAAGTCATTTCTCCCCCAAAGAGATGACCGACTATACCCGATCCTGCATGCTTCTATATGAATATACTCTCCCTCTGCAACATCGTATACAGTCTGCTATGAATCTCTGCCGCCAATTTAATACACAGTATCTCCATCTTTCAACATCATGTCTCAGATCCAGATCTTGATGGCATTCGGCTAAACATCAATCACCTTCTCTAAAATTACCTAGTGCATGACGGTGCTGACTAAGCCCAACCTCCCAACCTCACCTCGTTTTTCCATGTGAATAACTTCATATTCTGCAAATGACGATGGCGCTTGATCGCATAGAAACATTTCCAAAAACATCTATCGTACTATGCTTCCATCTAGCTCTTTCGAGATAACCACGGTAGAACTGCAGGGAATTTAAATACATCAACATATCGCAATATTGTATACAGTCCTTCGCGCTTACTTTACCTGCCCTAGATTTATACAAAAGTCAACTTCCTGGGGGGCTCTTTCTATTCTATGTCATGATACAGGCAAGTGAGGTCTTATCAATATATAATGTTATTTTCTTGCATGATACATCGATTTTCTCACGTTCATACAATGAAAAGCATTCGCATCAGTCATGTTGTTGTAAAGTTACATTTTTTGCGCTGAGATAGGATTTTGACAGAAGCCGCTGATGCTCTGTTGACCCAATAAATTACATGCTCTAACTCCGTTACATTTTGCGCTGAGATAGGATTTTGACAGAAGCCGCTGATGCTCTGCTAGTCCAATAAATTACATGCTTTAACAACCCCTTGTTACTCTGAGAATTTGTAGTACTCAATTTAAACCAAGTCATTGATTTCGTCGCTTTCCTCTGGGATGGTTTTTCGGCCAATATTTTTGGATGCTTGATCGTAACCCTTGCCCCAGATTTTAGGAAGATCTTTCTGAGGGTACTGGTCCATCTCAGCAAGCAAACCATTTATCCTTATCATTTCGTTCTCCATCTTAATTCGATGCGCATGTACCTTTTTGCATTCCTTCAAATAAGCTGCCGTGGCCTCTTCCTCCTCGTCCTGTATCTCATCCAACTTTTTCTTCAAAGCAGGTCTGTCCTTGGGACTAATACAATATTTTCTCCGTATTTGATTTCTTTCCACCATCAAACGGAATTTTATTATTTTGTGCTCTTCAAAGACGTTTCCTTCATCTTTTTGCAATCCATCTCTTGTAGCTTGTACCCAATTCTCATACAAACGCTGTCTCTCTTCACTATTGGCTACCATTCCAAATACTCCCATTTGTTTCATTAAATTTTCCCTGTGGAAGAGTGTCGTTCCAAGATTCTTGCCAAGACTTGTGGTGTCCCTTTTACGCCTTTCGATTGGGGCGGGCGCTTTGAATTCGGGATCTGGACATCTCAGATCATGGGCATATTTTGATACATTAGGATACTTTGCTAGGTTCTTTTTGAGTCTTCTGATACGTGCCATCTCTTTTCCTGTGCGAAGTATGACACGGGTGGGAGAAACGTGGGGGGCGGTTGTAGTTGCCATTGGGGTCAATGGCGGGGGCATTGTTGGAGGTGTTTGAAAATTGATAAGAAAGGGGATGGTGAATAGAGTAAATATGTGTATGTGTCGTTCTTATCGATGTCAAATGAAGTGTGCGATGATATATTCAAGTAAAGATTGTCAAGATGGCTGTAATATCGAACATATGTTCGAAATGTTGTCTGAGTATGATCCAAAAGAAATGGCTTCAAGAGAGGGAAATTTTAGTATTTATATACAATATTTCCATCTGGACCAGATAGATTTTTCTTTTGGAAAAGACGAGCTTGGTGTTAGGCTTGAACTTAAAATCAACCTACTTCGATCAAATTTGCATATTCCAGTGTTAAAGTTCGAACCAGCGGGGTAAGTTAGGCTCATATTGGAATGATTTCGAGCTTGAAATTGACTAGACATTGATCTTTACTCAGCTTCGATTTATTTTGTATCTCGCCATGTCCTAGCATGAAGTAGCTGGGTTAGTGGTTGATAGATTACCATGATCAATGGAAATATCTCCACCTTCTAGCTTGCAACAGACGGGTAACTTCCAAGCAGATTGTTGTTATCAAAATATCGGCAGGATTTCTATGCATGAATCGAAAACGATAGTACCAAAGTTCAGGGTTTGGAATCTTGAAGAGCCTCGCTTAACCTATTTGAATACTAGCGGATGTTAAGCGCGACGCGGCGCTGTTGGTAGTGTGGGAGTACCAAAAACATATGACGCTCACAACAAAGCAGAATGCTCATATGCCTTTACGTATCGAGCTCGGAAATATCAAAGATACAACTAGTGGATATGAAGAGTCGATCCGAAGATATCTCAAGCATGCAGGAGTCATAGGCGTTTTCGGCTCCTATATGGTCCGGGTCCAAGTTATTCTATCTGAGGTGAAATACGCAAGTATTTTGTCCAGGTTAAACAATCACAGTTGTCCATTGCTTACCTACGTTACCTGCCCCTCATTATCACCATACTAAAATGAATTCCCCAGCACACTATGCCTGTCACTAATTTATCCATGAAAAGTCTCTGACAATGGCGGTCAAAAAATGTACTAGATGTACCAGACGTCGAAAATACTCAACAGCCAATCAAATTTCAGAGGGAAAAACTAGTCAAGCTATCGACTCAAAAACGAGCTAGTTCTCTAACCTACTGTGAATCATACTGACTTCCCCAAAAAGCGTCCGCTGATGTGGATACTTAGTTTGGGAATAATATTATATTCAGCAGATCTAACGTATATCAAGCTAAGATGCGCAGCATTTCTCCTTCTTCGCTTCTCTTACGTCGTGTATGTACAATGAAGTATGAGGTATGTCCCTCGTATTGCAATCCGAGTGATTCCGACCATCTGGATTTCGATTCCCATTTGAATACGGTAAGATAATCACAGTTTTGAATCCCCTCAAAATCTAGTAATAACACTCCGGTCAAATTCGACCCTAAAACTACAGACTACTGGTACAGTTTTATTCCTAGGAAACCCGAAGAACGTGTCATCAGGCACTCATTCAAGTTACCTGCCGATCTGCCGTCCACATCTTAGGAATTTTCGAATGGTTTTGTTGCATTTCTAGTCCACTTCACTCTGGAAGAGTAAGCGCCAACGAATTACATCTGTACCGTTTCACCTCCGTGTCCGCTCTTTCCATACTCAACTCACTTTCTTACGTATATAGAACCCGAAACACCAGTACACTTTCCCCACAGCAAATATAAACATCACAATAATAAAATACTCCATCACCCAAACTTTGTATGCCAAAAAAAGTACACGGCATCGAGCATATACCCACTCACCTCACTCTTCACACATCACTCCTTCCTATCTCCATCATCGCTATCTGTACCAAATCATTCGATCCAAACCGCACTCCAAGAAACCTATTCCAAATTCGAACCCAATAACCTCTAAATTTATCTGCCTTCCCCAAAATTTCCCTCTCGACAATAATTAATCCACCCAAACTCATCACACGCACACCCTAAAAACAAAATCACCAGTCAATCCCTCGACTTCAAAAACATAACCCGAAAAATCCAGTCTAAGGTTAAAACATGAGGATATTCGAAAATATTCCACATCCCGTTAGAAAAACAATACGCAACTCCAACGCGCCCAGCATCGATTAGGTAGGTAGTTAAAGCTGCTCTAGTCATGATCTAGCGTTCCCCCCTGGTTAAAATACTAGTACATAAATCTTATTTTCGATCTATCTCCGCAACCCACGTGCGGAGTCAAGAGCGTCCTCGAAAACATCTATTTTTATTTTTATTTTTTTGAATCTTCAGATCATAACCATCCCTCCACTCTCCCAGCATTTGGTAGATCGAATATGAGTCGGATCGAGGTGACCGGGCGTGGAATATGAGGTATGAGAGTATAATTTTTACAGCTAGTATTGAGATTTGCAGATCCTTCTCATTTCTCAGATTATTGTAAGATCTTACATTGTATCCACCCAACTTCAGATCTCTGACTCTCGATGCACTGTATCACATTGTATTATGCACTCACTTACCTAATCATGATAACTTTTCTTTCCTATCTTCCCATCCAGTTACCTCGATACCGGCACACTGATATCCTATCCTCCAATCCTCAGCCTCATTCCCCAATCTCATGACCCTTCTCCTTCAATCCTCCTCTCCCCCATTGAATCCTCCAGCTCCGGCTCCAGCTCCAGCTCCTTCCTCCTTTTCAACCTTCTCTCTCATAATCCCTCTTTACGGTCCTCTTTCCCCTCCCCTTTCCCCTTCCATCCAAACTTATATCCCTACGTAACTAAAACCCCTGCCTCTGCCCCAAGCCCAAAACCACTTCTAGTCTCTGAACATACATTAACCCACCATGTTTAACCTATCGCATCAGCATACTCCATCTATAATTGTCTCTCCTATTTTCCAGTATCCAGCCGAGTTTCCCCTATCTCCCTTTCTCTTCTTATCACAAGGTAAGTTGAGAGAAAGAAAAGGGGGGGAAAAAGTAAATCAAATTCACCATCTATAATAGCATGATATTAGTACAAGGAGAACACCAGAGATGTGGTGTTACTTACCGATGATTCAAATTCTATTCCAGAGACACAAACTTTCTTCACAATCACACTCGCACACCTCACAATCAAAAGAAGTAACCAAAATGCGAATTCAAAGTATGTCAAATTCATTTATGTAACTATCTAAAAATCATGCAATTCCAGTGTATTCATCCCATATATGCACAGCATATACCCCATATGTATCTCGTCTCTCCATTCCTCCGCAAAACCAAAGACAAAATCAAAAACAAACGCCCGCATTCTAAGCCCTATGTAATAATGTACACCACCTAATAAGGCTATGTACAAGAAGAACATTAAAAAGATGACAAAAGGAGAAGTATGAAAGATCCGCAGGGTATCAAAATCATGTATCGTATCTCATTAAGCCGTATCATATCCATCTCAAATGGACCAACCTAGCACTTAACACCTGTACCAGCACCCTTGAACATTGCAATAGTAGCAGCAAAGGTGTTACGGTTATCTTTGAACACTGCGCCACTCTGTCCGTCAATTGTAACCATGTTTTCAACACCGACGGTTGACAATCCAGTGATGTGAATATTGCCTGAACCCTCAATTGAAAGCATGTTGCTTTGACAATTAGAAGTCTGCAAGCAGTCTTGACTGTAGTTATCAAAGAATGAATAGAGACCAGCACCAGTGATAAAGACATCCTCAGAGTTAACAATGCGAACACCCCATGCTTTATCAGCAAGCGATCCACCAGTGAAAGAAGGATCACCATAAACTGAGTTGGTGGTGAAAGGTGTTGTGGAATCGGGATTGGATTGGTAGTAAGGAGTTTCAGTTTGAATGGCTCCCATAAAAATGTTGGAGGCGTTGGCCAATTGGTAGTTGTAAAGAACACTATGTTCACTGGCGGTACCATACATCCAGGTGGGTCCTTCTTCAGAAGCAATCAAGATTCCTCTGCCGTTGTAAATGTCAATTTGGGTATGGTCAGTAAGATCAAGTTCATGATCAGCAACCCAAAACCAGTTGTTCTCAAGGTAGATCGAAGCCTTTTCAGTAACGTGGAGAAGCATAAAGGCTCCAATGCAGTCTGGGTTGCTGCTGTGAGTTGCGTTTGGATTCTTGGCGCAAGTGTTGGATTGAAGTTGAGTACCAGCACTACCACCAATTCTTATGTGAACATCCCACATTCCTGCCGAGCCTTGGGAAGTCTCCTTGAGATTCCATTCGATGAGGATAGCGCCTGCAGCTGGACCCATAGTCTGGAAAACAATATCGGAGATCTCGACAGAGCCAGTGTCACCAACTTGTCCAACTTGGAAGACGGCCTTTGGATTGGCTTGATCATTGAATCCCTTTGCCATGATCATAGGCCAGATCTCACCAGTGATCTTGATGTTCTTTGGAACCTTGATGGTGTCAGTGACAACATAAGCACCGTGATCGAAGTAAACAACTTGATCAGCGGTAGCCTTGTCAAAGATTGCTTGAATGGCGGCAGTATCATCGGTAGTTCCATCACCCTTAGCTCCATTAGACTTGACACTCAAGAATGAGGAGGCTGGTAAAGTCTCATATTGTGGCTTAGTGCGTCCAAATACCTTGCCAGTAGAATCCAAGAGAACTGCAGGCTTGGTGACAGCATCTTGAACACCTTGGCTAGCTGCACCGACATTAACTCCAGTGTAGACCTTTCCTTGAGCCCATGATGCAATTTTGGCGTTTCCGGCAAGGACAGTTGATTTGGAAGTGGCATCATACACGGCAACTGGAACATTGGAAGAGAAGTCGACGTTATCAATGACGAGAGTACCGTTGGTTCCGGTTTCGTTGACATCGTAAACAGTAGAAATACCGATTGGTGTGTTTACAATGGTGCTGTCCATCAATGTGGCCGATCCTGCTGCCCGCGAACTAGCGCCGCCGGCTGACATATCGAGACCTACACCACAGTTGTTGATGTTGATGTCCTTGAAGGTCCAGAGCCAGGCCCAGTTTAGGTAAATGGCCGTTTGGCAGTTGTTGAAGGTCAAGTTACGAGAAGTAAACTGTTGGCTACCCAAGAAAGCACCATACTTGCCACCGTTGAATGTCAAGTCGGCCATGAAGCCACCACTGCCATTATCCATGAAGATTCCTTGTTGGTTGTTACCTTCTCCACCATCAGTTCTCATGTTGAAAACAATGTTTTGCAATGATGTAGCTTGAGCAACTTGCCAATGAATACCACTACCGGTTGAGGCAGGCATGGCAGTCAAGTCGATGACGAAGTTTCTGATTTGACGGTAGAAGTTGTTCCTGAAAGTTTATTAGTGACCACGCTTACAGAATAAATGCATTATGAAAACTCACTGATTGGTGAACCAGTTGAATTCAGGATCATATGGGTCTGCGTCGAGTAAAGCCATGCCAGCAAAGTTGGCAAGACCTTTGATTGTTGGGAGAGTAACAGCATCACCAACAAGTTGAGTAAAATATTGTTGTTTGATAGGAGCTGAGATAGCATATGTTCCAGGTCTATGAGTAAAGTTAGTAATGTAGGAGAAGACTCAGGCAGACAAAGGGACAGAGGGCCCAGTTGAACTGGGTAATGTTAAGACAGGGTGTAATGACTTACGGGAAGTAAACGAGAGCAGGGGTAACAGTAGTAGAGTCACAGCCTTTACCACAACGGTTACCAGAGGAGATGGCAGAGTTGATGGCAGCGGTGTCATCAGTTACACCTTGATATTAATGTTAGTATGATACTGTCTGAGAAGAGAAGTGATTGACTTACCATCACCAACAGCACCAAAGTCCTTAACATTTCGGAAGATCTGATATGAAGCATCACCAAATGGTGCAGTACCTTGTCGTTGAATCTGATAAAGTTAGAGATGATTTCCAATAGTGAGAGAGATGAAGAAGGATGAATAAACTTACTGAAGCGAGCCAATAACTGCTGGAAGCAGCTGTCGTTGAAGCCACTGCATCAGTTGGCACAGGAGTAGGAGCACCAGAAACGATGAGGAAGAAGCGTAGGGCCAATAAAATGGAAATGATTGAGAAGGAAGCCATCATGAAGTAGTACCAGCTGCTGCAGGATGTCGACGTTGATGTTGTATCTGTAAAAGAATGTAGTTTCTGCCCGGGGTAAGAAGTTCAATCAGTATCTATGTTGGTATTGTGTGGTGGTTGTGAGGCGGTTGTAAGAAGAAGAAGGATAAAATCCTGTCTCTCGTTTGTTTCTTGTCACTTTTATGGAAAGAACGATGGTTCGACTTGATACCAGCATTCACTCGTAAAAGTAGCTATGTTGTAATAATAAATTTCCAATCCAAATCTCATATAGAAGATAAGATTGAAAGACAATGTTTGATAATGAGGGTGATATGATTAGGATTGGTGGCTGATTTTATATTATTGTGGTCGTGGCCGGGGAAAGGAACAATAGGATTAAGCGGAATGAATTGTGATTGCCTTGAGGGGGTGAATCGAAATTCTGAAGCTATTCAAATCATCCGACTCGACCTCATGACAAACATATCATCAAACAACCAAATGATCAAACAATCAAAACCTTCAAACAACAATACAACAATAGGAATGGAAATTAGCATTTGATGCCAAGGAAATGAACTCACAAGTTTGGAATTATGTCGTCGCGAAAAGAAAGAAGGTTTGAAGAAATGAATGTGTGGCCTGCCAAAAGGTGTAAAATGATGATAATTAACATGTTGGCGGCGGCCCGTGATCTTTATATCTTTAAGATCGACCTTCTTCATTTCATCCGGTCTCCCATCCCATATCTCAAACAAACCATCTTGAGCACAAAGAGTGGCTTCCTTGGTACGCTCTCCATATTGTCTAAGCGGACTGTTCGGAGAATGGCTCATGACTGGGGAGGAAGGCTTCCGAATCCAATTAAGGGTATATCAGTGCTTCACTCTCCCGGGAACTTAATCTGGCTATTAAGTGGCAAGTGCCTCAAAAGACTCTATATCGCCGCTTGTATTGGAAAGGTACAGCCGCAACCAGTCACTTGGGACGATTTGATTCGATGTTGTAGAGATAATTTAGGTTGTTCTACCCTGGTGTGTTTGTTAGTGCAACAGGGGTTCATTAATGCTCCCGTGATGAGTCGACGACAGAGAGTGTGTACACTGTATATAGATCAGGATACTTGGGTAGTCCCTTGACAGTCTCATCTAGTAACAGTGCCGAGAATGTGGAGGGTCAAAGATTGAGCGAAAACAGAGAAGAGTTGAAACTTGGTGTTTCTTCACGATACGCGGTTGTTGAATCTTGATTGGTACTTCGGACATTTGTTGTGGCGGCTCTTAATTTCCCAAGCTACTTTTTTATCCTACCAAAGAAAATCTTCGAAACGCGATCAAGCTTTCAAATGCGGGAACTTTTTCAGAATATATGGGGAAGAAGAACGGACGGATCTCATCGCATAAACGCGTCGTCGATCCTTCCCCTTCTTTTTAATATAAAAATTTCAATACTCCAGGCCAAATCCCTTTTCGACCTTCCGAAGTCGTACAAACACGATCCAAAATGGACATGTAATATAACTTCATCCCATCGACAGCAGTTTCAACACAGTTGCCGTGTATTAATATGCCTACCCCGATTAATTAATTCGTGAATTGCTTTCTACGCTGAGAGGCTACCTGCAGCTAAGAGGAACGATAACCCCTATAACCATTATCAGCCCCCCCTGCCATAGAGCATTATTTTGCAGCCCAATATATGCGCACCATCTCTTGGTTTGTTTCAATCAAAATTTTTGCTCGCGGCTTTGTTGGTTAATAGTTGTTGGATGTTTCATGGGGTCTTCAAAGGGGTGTGTCTATGAAACACGGGATGTAGCAGGACCGTTGTTTGGATGAACCGGGTTTGTACTTTTGCTCCATTCGTGTATTCCATGCAGTTTCGTCGCCCCCTATCAATTTTCTTGGAGTTTATTCCAATATAGATATCGCTTCACCACAGGACCGATTTGTTACACGCAGAGAGGAAACTTACTTGAGGGGCAGGGGTGCTGCTTGATATCACGTGATAGGTCGGTTCCAATTTTGGCTAAATAATTGGGTAGCAGCGCTCAAGTCCGGTGCTCACATACAATTAACCCTAAAAGAGACCGTTTGTTTTAGACTTTCTCATGACCTTTGGGGTGTCACTTCTCACCAGCCTCACCGACCTCACCAACCTCACCCTTTTTGGACTACTGACGTACTGGTATTCAATTGTGATAATTTTGAACAATTAAAAATCACATGTTTGATATCATCTGTGTTTAATGGGAATCATTTAGTTTTCAATCTTAATTAAACGTGTGACATCGGCATTTCTCTATGACGCGTTATGATATAATTGTGCAGCTTGATATAACGATTTTTTTGGTATTCTAACTTCAGCGCTAATAATATCAACCCATTCAATACGTTGCAGTTTTGCTACAAATTTTACAATTACAATAACAATTACACAGAATATTTCTGCTGGGGTAATGGTTTGGAAGTCGTCAGTACCTACCTACTCAATGAGAGTGATATATTATAGTAAAGTGAAATGTATGACCATGAAGTGAATCATATATGTAAATAAATTTGATCAGATGTGAACGCCTTCCAGATCAAAAGTCGGCGGCGAGAAGGCAATTTCACTCACAAAGTCCGCTTCAAAGTCCGCTTCTACGACAGGCTGTTGTATTTTGCTATATTCCTAGTCTAAATCAGAACGATTGATTCTTTGGTGGCAGCTCGAACGCGATCGAGAAGATGCGTCGACCACCCATTAAGGGCAGCTATCCCTGCTCTCATAAATATCGAGTTCCCTCTTTCGTCTTCTTCAAGATATCTTAGGGCCAAGAAACTTGGAGTCTCGGCATATTGTGTGAGGGTTCGGGTTCCAACAAACATGAGGAAAAGCGAGATGTTCTTCTTGACTTCAATTGCAGATTCAGTGGGTTTGTTTTGATCATAATAATTTTGATCTAGATCCACAAGAATCATGATTCTCTTGAGAGTCCCTTTTTCTCCTTGAAATCCATGATGTAAGTTGATACCGAACATGGCAATTCGCTTGTAGCCTGTACCGGAATAAGAACTGCTTTAACCTCAAGCTTACCTCCAAGAACGCCACCGAAAGCGTTGCTTCCGGAAAGTTGGATATCCACAGAGACAATTTCCGTGCCAGCCTTGAATTTTTCATCTTTATGATCGTATGTTATACCGCCGCTGCGTATCGAAGCCCAACTCCAAGAAGGCATGCACTTCTCGCTTTCTGTATACTCGTTGTTGTCTTTTTTTGAAGTCCAGAGGAGTGCCCCAGGAAGTTGGCTTCTCCATAACCCAGCGTAATAACCATCTTGAGTCATGTCATGCAAGAGTTTAGCTATCCCAGATATGGCGGGTAGCTTATCAATCTGATATGTGAGGGGACGGTGACTATAAGCCTCGAGCATAATGTACCAATTAGAATATATATCTTTGTAAACTTCCCTACTCGGTGAGACTGAAACTTGAAATCTAAATATATGTCGAGGAAACTTGCTTCTGATTCGAAATTTGAGAATCCTATCCGGCATTCACAAGTGCTACACTCTCGGCAACCCCATAGCATCTCATCCTTTGCAAAGGACAGAGTACGTCTCGCAAGCACTTGCTCTTGCAACACCCACCCACGTCTCCTTAGCACACTGTCATACAGTCCATGTGATTCAAGCCGCCCGTTTGCATCATGAACATGAGATTGATCTTGGATTCTACGTGCATAGAGAAAGTGCTGGCGGCCATCTACGTCGAGATATGACAATTGTAGGCTCTTGGTCCGATTCTCAAGATAGAAACCCCCGTTAGAGTCTCTTGCTTTAGTGGCGGCTAAAACTAAGAATGCCGACATATATACATCGCTCATAGGAGAACTCTCAGTTTGTCAATCTTCCAGTGAGTCTTGCATTATACACAAAGAGTCGATCCATAGATAAGGTATCCCCAGTCCTCTGGTAATCATAACAGCATCGAACAAAGTCTTTGACAATGAATCCATTAGGATTCTTTTCTTGTAGACTGATAATTTAGCCTCAGTAAGTTTGATGTCTTCAAGAATTGATGAATTATCCCCAACAATAACTAAGGGCAGCAAAATTCCCGCTCATGTTCTTTGTTTCAATCAATTTGACTGAACTATTTGAGGTTCCGACATTGATGACACGCGTTGGCATTTTTGGGCCGCCAATGTAATTCAAATTGCATCTTCGATGTGATTCACAGTTTGCAATCCGGCTTTTCGCTGTTTGTAAGGATATAGGCAAGGAGCTCGAATTTTCTTGCGCAGCGGTGATAAATGGTAATGAAAGGCCACCTTTAGTATGAGAGAAGCGACAGTCAGCTGCAATTCATGCAAGTCAGCGTAAGGAAAACCAATCCTTATTCTTGACCTCAGGCTCAAACACGTTCCTGCATAATTCAATAGAAGACATTCCGTCCCAACCGATTTGCATTATTGAGTATCTCTGGATACCACCAATGTCTTTCACCTTTAACCATAAGATTTCGAGCCGTTCTCCGAAGCGCTCTTGGTTCATTGCAGCTATAGCTTGAACCACAAGTGTATAAAGACAACAAACAGCCTTCACGAGCAGCTTCGAGAACAGATTTTATCGACCGTGTCTCAGTAACAGTGAGTTAGCTCGGTATTTTTGATCAAGGGTACTTTCGTAGTCACCTCTTCCTGGTGAATCCTTACGTCATCGCATACATAGCAGACCATATCTGCTTTATGATGAGGTTGAGGAATGCTGTTGACTGTCTGGACAAAGATATTGAATTTTTTCATTCTGTCAGATTCACTAGCTTGGATTAGTTGCCTAGCATTAGATCTTTGGCTAGGTACCTAGGTGCTTTAATCATGAATACCTACTAAATCTAGAACGTTTACACATGAACAAATAACTTTCGGATTGGAAAATATCACAATCGATAGAGTTGTTGGAGGAAAGGCTAGAGTTTTTCTCTTCTTCATCAAGCTGGGATGTGATACTGAGGGGGGAAGGAATTTCGCCCATCGATGCTGATTTATGTAACTCCATCAAGTAATATTTAAATGGGGATGGAAAACTTGCAGGCGTTGCGTGGAAGATCGCTTTGCCTATCCTATGCGCAGGCGTTGAGGAATAGATACGATGTATAAAACGACGCAGTGTAAAGCTTGTAACGGTTTGTAGATGTCAAGGAAATGATTGAGAGATGATGGTAATATCCGAATATTGTTAATATGAATTTGACATATTCAGGAAATCTACTGCTTATGATGATGGTGCATGACGACGATGGTAGAGTGTTTCATCGGAAAGAGGAAAATCATTCTCTCTTCTATTGACCCTTCGGCAGCCGCTTGCCCGACCTGCATCTTGATAAGCCGGCATACCCAATGGACTTCAAAGGCTGGCTAGTGTTTATGCATCTTCATGGTAGCCTAACCTTTAGGCATTTTCTGGCATGCATCACAGAAACGAAAGAATCGGTAGGTTTAGTTTTTGGATGGGTGACCCGCAACTAACTGGGCACCCCATTACCTTTGGATGAAACCGACTGACAGAAAGAGGCCATATCTTTACGAGTAGTTCTGATATATTCCCACAGTATTGGTTGCGTGATCTCAATGGGAAAAATACACATTGATGTTGATACATACACTGCCTCACGGGAACCTTGAGAGTTCCGAAGTAGACGGCTGAGTAGAGATTGCCAATGAACAAGTCAACAAAAGAGTCTGGGTAAGCAAACAATCAATCTAATATCATCATCTTATGAATTCGATGGTAGGTCGTAATGACAGCAACGAACAATTAGCAACTGTAGACTGTGGCATGCATATTCTGTCGTGGGAACGAAGAATCCGAGCCGGACCATGCTGCTAGTGTGTGTAAAGTCTAGATATCAGGTCGTGAGAGAAAATAGTGAAATGCTCACCTAAGGTTATTGTACCTTAGTCCTTCATCTCCAACCATGTACCATTAGATTGTAAATGTGTGTGATGTGATCTACTAATACGAGAAGAAGCACCTAAGCTGCCAGGGCTTAGCTTGCTTTCAATAAGGCTGGCAGTCTAGATTATCTTCAGTGGCAGTCAATCGGCCAAAAGGTCAAATATTCTCATGACCGCCACTACATTGACCGGTTTCAAGCCAAATCGAAGGATCTCGAATCAAGACTTCAATGCAACGATAATATGAATATGATAGCTAAGAATTATTATAATGGAAATCGAAATCAAAGGAACCTTCAAGAACTCCCTCAAACTTACTAGAAGCTTCCGAGACACGTGATATTACCCACACGAGCCTCATTTACCAGCCTCATTTGTGAAGCACAGTACAGAAATCGGTCCAAGTTTTTCCCCGCTGATAAGATGAGCCACTCCGATAAACAAAAATGAGATTCTAGAGGGGAAAGAAGAAATCCATAGAATTTGAGTGTTTGATTGATTGATTGAAGGAATATTCCAACAATACAAAACAATAGGGAAATGTAAAGTCATATGAATCTCATCTCTCTTCAAATGATATTAGTAATCTTACCAATATATACCCAACTAATAATAAGGAGAGAGATATTTTGATCATGTATTGACCGTTTGCATTCAATTGAAAAAGAACTCACAGCTACCTAGCTATATAATTCTAAAAAGTTCCATCTACATCACATCGTTTGTATTGCCTTGTCATGCTTTCTCCTTCATTGATTGGTTGATTTAGAAGTGGCGCGTTGCTAGGTGGTCTAAAAAAGGTTAAGCGACTAGAAAGTTCCTTACAATTCTACCATTTTCTATAGCGAGCCTTTCCATAAAATCCCCAATACCCTTCAGCGAAAAGACAATTCTCTTTTTTTCTTCAAACCATTCAAAGATACCCTTTCTTTCTACTTTCTGTCTATTAGACTTCTACAATAAGATACATACACTTAACGACTTAACGAATACCATCAACTGTAAGTTACTCTCAATAACCTTCCTGTGTCAGAGTAACCCCTCGATCAAGGAACTCTTTGGAGAGCTCAGCCTCAAAAGAGAAAGAAATTCCAAAGACCTTGAGACGATTACTTGCACTCTACAAAAGATTCACAAGAAGCTCAATACGCTTGCTTGCACAACTTCATTTTCATCAAGAAATTCATACTAATCTACCCTCTTTCTACAGTCTCTCCGTTTCCACATACACAATCACAAATATGGCTGGCGAAACTTTCGAGTTCCAAGCTGAGATCTCTCAGTTGCTCTCTCTCATCATTAACACAGTTTACTCAAACAAGGAGATCTTCTTGAGAGAACTTGTTTCCAACTGTTCCGATGCTCTCGACAAGATCCGTTATGAGGCTCTCTCAGATTCCAGCAAGCTCGACAGCGGTAAGGATCTCCGCATCGACATCATCCCAGACAAGGAGAACAAGACTCTTACCATCCGCGATACCGGTATTGGTATGACCAAGGCTGTAAGTAAATTCATAGGCGAAGACACAAAATCATTTACTAATCAAGAATTCAGGATCTCGTCAATAACCTCGGTACGATTGCACGATCTGGTACCAAGCAATTTATGGAGGCTCTCACCGCAGGTGCTGATATCTCTATGATTGGTCAATTCGGTGTTGGTTTCTACTCTGCATACCTCGTCGCTGACAGAGTTACTGTCGTCTCGAAAAACAACGATGATGAACAATACATTTGGGAATCCAGTGCTGGAGGAACCTTCACTCTCACTCAAGACTCTGAGGGTGAGCAACTCGGCCGTGGTACCAAGATCATTCTTCACTTGAAGGATGAGCAAATGGATTACTTGAACGAGTCCAAGATCAAGGAGGTCATCAAGAAGCACTCCGAGTTCATCTCATACCCAATCTACCTTCACGTCTCCAAGGAGACTGAGACCGAAGTTCCAGATGAGGAGGCTGAGGAGACCAAGGAAGAGGATGAGGAGAAGAAGGCCAAGATTGAGGAGGTCGATGATGAGGAAGAGGCCAAGAAGCCAAAGACCAAGAAGGTCAAGGAGACCAAGATTGAGGAGGAAGAGCTCAACAAACAAAAGCCTATCTGGACCAGAAACCCATCCGACATCACCGCTGAGGAGTATGGTTCATTCTACAAGTCCCTCTCCAACGACTGGGAAGATCATTTGGCTGTCAAGCACTTCTCCGTTGAAGGTCAACTTGAATTCCGTGCCATCCTGTTCGTGCCAAAGAGAGCTCCGTTCGATCTGTTTGAGACGAAGAAAACAAAGAACAACATCAAGCTTTATGTTCGCCGTGTTTTCATCACTGATGATGCCACTGACCTCATCCCTGAATGGTTGAGCTTCGTCAAGGGTGTTGTCGACTCTGAGGATCTTCCACTTAACTTGTCCCGTGAGACCCTTCAACAAAACAAGATCATGAAGGTCATCAAGAAGAACATCGTCAAGAAGGTTCTTGAACTCTTCCAAGAGATCTCTGAGGACAAGGAGCAATTCGACAAGTTCTACGCTGCTTTCGCCAAGAACATCAAGCTCGGTATCCACGAGGATTCCCAAAACAGAGCTGCTCTTGCCAAGCTCCTCAGATTCAGCTCCACCAAGTCTGGTGATGACATTACCTCCCTCTCCGACTACGTTACCCGTATGCCAGAGCACCAAAAGAACCTTTACTACATCACTGGAGAGTCTCTCAAGGCTGTTCAAAAGTCACCATTCCTTGACTCCCTCAAGGCAAAGAACTTTGAGGTTCTCTTCTTGGTTGACCCTATTGATGAGTACGCCATGACTCAACTCAAGGAGTTTGAGGGTAAGAAGCTTGTTGATATCACCAAGGACTTCGACCTTGAGGAGACTGATGAGGAGAAGAAGACTCGTGAGGAAGAGGAGAAGGAGTTCGAGGGTCTCGCCAAGGCTCTCAAGAATGTCCTCGGTGAGAACGTTGAGAAGGTTGTTGTCAGCCACAAGCTCGTCAACGCTCCTTGTGCCATCCGTACCGGTCAATTCGGTTGGTCCGCTAACATGGAGCGTATCATGAAGGCACAAGCTCTCCGTGATACTTCTATGTCATCATACATGTCCTCCAAGAAGACTTTCGAAATCTCTCCAAAGTCACCTATCATTAAGGAGTTGAAGAAGAAGGTTGAGGCTGATGGTGAGAACGATCGTACCGTCAAGTCAATCACTCAACTTTTGTTTGAGACTTCCCTTCTCGTTTCCGGTTTCACCATCGAGGAGCCAGCTGGTTTTGCCGAGCGTATTCACAAGCTTGTCTCACTCGGATTGAACGTTGAGGAGGATGCCGAGACCACTGAAGATGCCGCCGCTACTACTGAGGCAACTTCGGATGCACCAGTTGAGAGTGCTATGGAGGAGGTTGACTAAATTCTTAAAATGGCTTGGTTTTTGCGGGATAGTGGAGTTTAATGGTTGGTTTTCGGTCATGCATTGAGCCTGATTACTATTTCTCTTTGATGCTTATTTTTTTTTCATTCCACATGGTCTTAATAGATACATGAGGTATAATCTTAAAAAATGTACTTTGTGATAAACATTGCGCGTTAAGACGAAAGAAAAGAGATAGCAGAATACAAAATATTTACTGTACTTTTGTGTGTTTTTGTGTGTTTAATTGATATAATTTTGAGTGACGATGAAATCTCTCCTTGGGCATATTCGTGTGACGATATATTATTCTACTTACGATCATGTACTAATGATTCTGAATTTTCGCCCTATCACGTACAAGTGTACTGAAAAGATCCTTTTTGTATTTGGACGCGGACCAACTCAGACCGGATATGGCGTCTTAAAGTTGCACAAGGGGTTACATATGCACAACATGACATCTAGAATTACTGGGACTGTGTTTGATTTGTAGAACCGAAAACATGCCCATTCTCTGCTATTTTCAGTGGATTGGCTATTACTATGATGGGTATGATCGATGTGGTGAGCTTCGATAGACATCATGATCTTTGTTTCCAATAGACTGGCTTGTAACTCTGTCTCGGAGAGCTGAAGAGGGCGCAATTTTAGATTGGGAAAGGACGAGATGATTAATATGAACGAGTAGGAGGGATCAGGTAATCGATTTGCTGTTGTAACTCACAGTTGGGAAGAGCACAGCGATGGTAAAAATGTATGGGATCTATAAAATCGACGAATAGGAAGCATTAGGGGATTATTTTGTGGATGGGTAACAGCAGTTTGGTAATATGGATCTCGTTTATCGCAGCCAGAATTGGGAGATGGGGATACATTATGGTCATGGGAGTTCGTCATCCCGGAAATCGAAGATGGGATAGTATAGCACGATGAGTGTAGTTCCTAACTACATTGTATATTATCGAATCGCAGGGAGGAAATCGAAAAAGATATCCGTCAATTGACTTTCGGAACGGCACGGTTAGTTGAATCTTGCGCAAATGGAAGTCAATAGTGTGGCAGGATTCTTTGCTAGGTAGGTATGATGTGTAGTCAAGGAAGGTCCGAGGGATGAAGTTGCACGATCTGAGTAAACAAGATGTACCTTGATGGATGGCAAAAGGAAAGTTAACAAAATGAGGAGAGGGTATAAAAGTACGGAATTCCCTGATTTGAGAGCTTCGATTTTGTTTCTCTCTTCATCACATACACACTGAGCTTTTACTTCTTTTTGCTACGAGTCTCGTTTAAAGTACAATACCTTGCAACGCAATCCATTCGCTGTTACAAATCACTTGAATTTCAATCTATCACATACTCTCAATCCAATTCAGTTTAACTCAATTCATTCCAATCTACTTTGTCAAGTGATCACTCTCGCCTCTCACACCTACAACCAACCATCTCGCACATATCCAACCGCAACAATGTACCACAAACTCATTCTAACAATCTCTCTCCTCCCAACTATCTACGGAGCACCTGCACCTACACCTGCACCTATCCCAGATGTCGCAAATGATAATCACTCACCCTACTACTCTCCACCTTCCGTCTCTGTCCCTTCTCTTCCTGCCCCGGCCGTCCCATCGGTTCCTGCTGCTGGCGGCAGTACTAGCGGAAGTACTGGTAGTAGTGATCCACTTGGACTAGGTGGTCTTTTAGGTGGTCTTTTAGGTGGTCTTGGTGGCCTTGGTGGTCTTGGTGGTGGAGGAACCGCTCCAGTTGCAAGTATCCCAGCTTTGCCTGCTCCAAGTGTCCCAATCTTGCCGACGAGTCATTATTATCCTACACCTGTTCCGCAGGTTTCGACTACTTTGCCTGTAGGTGGAGGAGGTCCGGTTGTTTCTGCTACAATTCCTATCGGTGGTGGTGGTGTTTCGATTGGTGGTGGTGTATCGGCTTCTGCTACTATTCCTATCATATCTGCTACTCTTCCAGCTGTTGGTGGTGGCTCAGGATCGAGTGTGGGATATAATGGTGGTGGCGCTAGTGTAAGCAGTGGAAGCGGACCTGGCATATCTGTTTCGATACCTATTCCAACCGGTGGTATTTCAGTTGGTGTTGGAACTTCAGATGCAGTCACTGCTTCAGTTCCTGGCGCTACTATCTCTATAACCCAACCTGGCGGACCAACTGTTACATCTGATCCTGCATCGAGCGATTGCCCGGCTAAAGATATGTCGACGTATTCACTTATAATTGCTTCTACTATTCCTCAGACAACAACTACCATCTCGCACTTCACTGTTCCCGTCGTTGAAACGATTTCCACAAATTATGTGCAAGTCATTTACTCGACGGTTACTATTCCAACTACAGTGTTGAAGACAAGTCAAAGTACTGGAACCACAACAATTGTTGCTACTTCTATCGTTACCAGTAAGTTATACCCCATCTTTTTTTCCCACTCATTGCCATGAATTTATTGTTGAGAAAATGGTCTAACATATCACGATAGGTCTTCAAACCTCTCTTACAGCCGTCTGTCAAGGTGGTGGTATCCCTGCAGCTCCTACTGGATCTGGTTCTGTACCAAGTGGATCTAGTGCCAATGGTGCTGCAAGCTCAAGTGCACCAGGTGCTACCATTAGCGTTGGACTTCCAGGTGATGGAAGTGGAAGTGGAGGAAGCAGTGGATCTGGAACTCCAACAGGAGGAAGCGGAAGTGGAAATGGAAATTATGGTGGATATTACTCCAGAGTTTAATTTAATTGAACGATGAGCTAGGTCAAAGTATATGAGAGGGATACTATGGGTTTAATTGCTGCTAGTTTTGGTGGAGAAATTTATGATTCATTAATTGTGGTTGATATCTTGGGACAACTTGGTGGACTGGAGAGAGATAAGGGTAGCTTGATCCTATATATTTGTGGCATGGGGAGCTCTAATTGTCAGGACACAGCTTTCGAAGATATGTTTGTGTGTGAATGAGATGAGTGGAATGTTTCTTCTGATGGTAGATAGTATACTTCTATTGATTCAAATTGAGATTAATCACCTTGTATGGTTTTGAGATTTATGAATTACTTAAGGTGCGTGAGTGACATCTTCTAGAATTGACTTTAAGATTAAGCCATAGCTTCTGGAGTGCAAAAATTCATCTTGAGTTTGCGTCTCGCACCAGGGTTTTCTTGATATCATCTCTGCTAGATGTCTTCGCTATGAAAACGAGGATAATCACAGCTATACCACACTACCTTCAGTATATTTACACGTCTAACTTGTACCAATACAGCGTTAAAAGGACCAGCACAACGCATCAAGAATTCCCTTTCCGTAGCTCCTACGAATGAATATTGGCTCTTCAAGGAGTCAAATCTAGTGGATTATTGTGAATTGAAGCGCGATTCGAGAGAAGTACGGACAGAGAGGTAGGGAAAGAGAGGATGTGTATCAGTTCAACGCAGGCGTAAAGCCCGTATGGATGAAGTGCGAGGATGAAGCGGGGTGGGGTGGTATGTGTAGGAGGGATGTGAATATTTCGCAGTACAGGTAGTGTTTTTATTGAATTGATTCGGCGGTGCACGCTTATGCAATTTCTTGATTCGGGTATTGATACGATACGGCTGTTTTATTCGATTGCTGGGTTTCTGCGGAAGTTTGGAGTTTTGGGTTCGCGCAGTAGACGGCGAGGGTACGGTTGAGATCCTGTGCTGTGTTGTATGCTGTGTTGTATGATGGTACGGTGCTGGAGGGATGGGTAGTTTGGAAATGGAAAGGGGATGTATATGTATATGTATATATATATGTCGTACGGGCATTATGAGAAAGGTATGGCTATGAGCTGGCTGGCGGCTGTGAGTGCCAGTAAGAGCGTGAAGGTAGTCATGTACGGTGATTATGATTATGATGTTCACGGCGAATTAGACTTACAAATTCAGTGAGAAACACAGCAGTATGAACTATCACCGTATGATAGACATGTATATCGCCCTCTATGCTGCATGTATATAAACTCTTTAGATCCCATCGATAAACTCTCTCTCCCATCTGTTCGACATTCATTCGGATACTCAAACTACACATCGGAAATCACGAACCACAAACCAAAAACGACGAACCACCAACCACAAATCATAAACCACAAACCGGAAAGTTCGTTAACGAGTAAATACCTACTTCACAATGCCAAAGACAAAAGCAGCCTTGAAGTCCGCGCAGAGTGTGCAGCAGAAGCAGAAGCAGAAGTTGAAGACGGAGCAGAAGTCGAAGATGATGGCGACCCCGGTTGGAAGAAATCCCAGACCTAAAGCTAGCCTGGACAACACAGAATCGGATTTAAATTCCAATGCAAAGACTAATGCATCTACGAGCTCAGGGGTCCCAGATTCGAGAAACGATGCAGAGTCTACTCCAACTCCAAAGCCAGTATACCCAAAACAAAAGATCATCTGGCATCATAGGCCACATAGGAAGAGAAGTTCTACAACCACGAGTGTAAAGAAAGATGCGGAGTCTGCAGCAATTCCGAATCCAACCCCAACTCTGAAGACGAAGACAGTGTCAGCCACAGTTGGAGAAAAGGCAAAGCCCAATGCCGGCATGAAGACCCCCAAGCCAACACCCAAACCAATATATCCAAAACCAGTGGTAATTTGGCATATAAACCCACACAAGAAGAGACGCTCCAAGACCACGAGTTTGAAGAAAGATGCAAAGTCTGCGACGAATTCCGTTGCATCTCCAATTCCAACCTTAGCCCCAACTCTAAAGACGCAGACAGTGTCAATCCCAGCTAGAAGAACTACGCAACCTAGCCCGGAGACCCCCGAACCAACCCTGAAACCGACATATCCAAAACCAGTGGTAATCTGGCATCAGAATCCACGTAGAAAGAAACGCTCTAAGACCACGAAGTCGAAGAAAGATGCTGAGTCTACGACAAATCCAACTCCAGTTCTAAAGCAGGGGTTACAGACAAACTCGGTTAGAGGGAATAGACAAGCCAAACCTAGCCCGAAGAACATTAAACCAACTCCAAAAGGAAACTTGACCCGGAACTTAGGGGTAAATGGAAAGAGAGGACCCAAGACTGCGACTGCGAAGAAAAGTGCAGGAATTTCGGCTCCGGTCACTGCTAAGAGAGTTGTTATCGAGATTTCGGATTCGGATTCGGATGATGATGATTTTGATGCGGATGAACTTACAGATTCAGATGATGAGTTTGATAGTGACTTTGATGCGAATGAAGTTAGAGATTCGTATCCAGATTCAGATTCAGATTCAGATGCTGAGGATGATATTGATCAGGACATTGATGAGGATGATGATGAAGCTGGAGATGTGGATGTTGATGAGGATTTTGATGAGGATTTTGATGAGGATGTTGATGTGGATGTCGACGAGGATGTTGACAAGGATGTTGATGAGTATGGTGATGAAGCTGAAGATGTGGCTGTTAATGAGGATGTGTATGAGGATGTGGACATCGATGCAAATTCTGACGAAGATATCGACGTGGATGCCAACACAACTCCACAATCTTCTTCAATGCATAGTTCAGACATGAATTCGATATCCGATATCAATTCTGCCCCGGCTTCGCCACATTTCGGAGATCTCGATCTGATGCCATGGGTGTCAGAAACTGAACCAGAACCGGCACAAGAATTGGATCCGGGATTGGGAGATTCAGAGGTAGATGCAACTCCAGATATGATGGAGATGATACCTGATATCAATGTTGCCCCAGCTTCTCCAAATCTAGGGGATCTGGATTTGATGCCATGGATGCCAGAATTCGAAGCAGTACCAGCCTTCGGATTGGAAAATCTACTCGCTGGAAATGAAGTTGTAGACGCTGATGCGAATGCGGATGCAACTCCACAATCTATTCCAATGTATAGTCCAACAACTTCGGATATCATGAGTTCGACACCCGATTTCACAGCCGATCTGACTTCTCCGTATCGAGGAGATCTGATGCTATCAGTTTCAGAAGCGGGATTGGGAAACCAACTTCCTGGAGATGGGGCTCTCTTATCCGAAGATACGTACCTGGATATGGCAATGGATGTGGATATGAATAGGGATTTGCATCTGGGCGTGGATGCAAATATGGATATGGGAATGGGAATCGATGGGCATATGAACGTATATACATCCGCAGAAGCCAACCCAAGCCCGTCCCAGACCTCCTGGAAAGGAATGTGCATGGACCCACCTTTGACAGCGGAAGAAAAGGATTGGGATTTTTCGAATGTGGGGGTCGAGGAGATTGATGAGTTGTTTGCGGAGATGGAGAAGGAGATGGGGGAGTAGAGGATATGGGTGGTGGTGTTGAGATAGGGGGAGAGGTTGAGAAAAGGGAAGAGGGATCAAGTGGGATGTTGAACTCTTAGACTTCTAGATTGCTAGGCGGTTAGTTAGGAAATTATAAAAATCACGAGATGTGAACTTCATTTCTGGGGAGTGTGGTGTGACGCGAGGAGAGGAGAAGGAGAAGAAAATAGTCATTAGTTAAAATTTTAATCAAAGCATACATAACTATTTAACCATGCTCAATGTTTCATAACCAAGATTGGTGTTTATCTTTATTGAACTACTCACTAACGTGGACAATCTGACAGTGCCTTCATATTGTTTTAGTGGCATGCATAATACTACGCTGTGACATTAAGGATACTTCGTCCCGACTCAGAATTCTATGCCTTTGATCGACTCAGCGTACATCGTAAAAATTGTATGAGACCGTAATATATGGCATGATCCATAGTGAAAGGTAAAATGAAACCGAAAAAAATACTACCACCAACTCCTTGAACCTCTAGCCATGAAGTCCGAAGTCATAAATCTGAACACATACAAGCAAGCAAATCACAAATCAAAATATGTGCATAGAATTTCGAGGAAAACTCAACGATTTAGAAGTCTAACTATTGACTATTACCACAAATCCTGGTATCATACGCATTTTCTGTATCAAGCCACTCCCACTCCCACTCCACTCCATTCCATCCCATCCATAGAAATTCTCGATTGAAATCTCAATTACAATTTGATAGAAAATTTTATCGTAAACCATGCATCTCGCAACCAAAATGATCTCCGCCTCTACGAATAACCATCTCCCCAATATCCCTCAAGGCAAATAACATCCTCCAGCCATAACCAAATTCATTCTTGTAAACATGACTTTGTAAACTGGTGATCTCTTGGTAGGGAACGCAACAATTTGATCTGGAGTAATCATTGTTTCCTTACCCTTCTTCTTGGAAGAACCGGTGGTAGGATTAGCTTGAGCACCAGTAATGGCACCAGTAACACGAGTTGCATCAGCTTGTCCACCAGTACCGATGATTTCACCATCAGTGTTCTTGTATGGATCAGAAGGAACTTCGATATCCCATAGACGAACAGTACCATCAGCTCCACCCGAACACAAAACTGTAGATTCAACACTGAATGATAGAGACCAAATTCCACCCTTTCCATGACCTCTGCAACGTTTGATTTGTGTTCCCTTTGCAAGATCCCAAAGAATAATACTACCACCACAATCTGCAGATGCTAGAATCTTTCCATTAGGAGCGCATTGAAGAGCACTAATGGTGTCGGTATGACCAGTGAAGACACGAACGCAATCACCAGTTGTAAAAGACCACATGCGAACAGTCTTATCAGCTTGATCACTTGCTGAAAAAACATATGCTCCATTTGGATGCCAAGCGATTTGATTGACGTTGGAATCATGACCAATGAACATTCGAAGGTATGAAATATGATCTTGTCCCCAAATACGAACAGATCGATCATGACCGCAAGTCAAAAAGTAATGACCAAATGGTCCCCACTTTACATTCCATACTGGACCTTCATGACCTTTGTATACGACAAGGCAGGCCCATGCTTCAAGAGACCAAAGACGAATTGTTCGATCCGAGGAAGATGAGAGAAGTAATTTGGGAGCAGTAGCTGTGTCACTCTCATCTGCACCACGAATTGAAGGAGAGAATGATACAGCATAAACAGGTGCGGAATGACCGATCAAACGACGAGAGTTCGATGGTGGCGGATCATTTGGACCTGATTTGGTTTCGCTAGGCAATGGTTCGCCATGCAAATGCCAAACACGAATGTAAGATTCTTCCGTTCCAACAGCAACCAAGTTATTATCATCGGAAAATTCGATACAATTGATTCTAACCACAAGTTAGCATTCTGGCAGAAGGCTGTTGTCAAATAACTTACGTATCAAGAGTATTGTGGAAAGTAAACATGCAAATAGAGACTGCAGGACCAACACCACCATTACGGCTTTCGATCTTGAATCTGTCTCGATGTTCTTTGACCTTTTGAACCTCCATGGTGACATCCCGAGCACGAGAAGGAGGGTATGGGATGTCATTGCGGCCAGGTCCTTCAACACCTTCCTCACGCTTGATACTTTGATCAAACAATTCTACCAAGGATGGTTTGCCAAGCTCAGGTGGGTTCTTACTATCTTCCTCATCAAGATCTGCGCGAACATCTGCAGCCAATTCTTCTTCCATTGCCATCGGTCCCAAAAGTAATTTGGCATTATTATCTTGGATATCTTTGTTTGTAACTCCGGTAAAAGCTCCAGGAATGCCTTCTTGAAGGTCAGACTCTTCCGGTTCAACACCATGTGCTTGATTGATGATAGCTTCGAAACTGAATTGATCAATAGGTCCTCGCTTTGTTTCACGAATTTCGCAGTATGTCTGTAGCAAATAAATGATAACAGATCCTCCTTGTTTACTGTTCGATTCGAGATGAGTTATGAGGTTGAAGTAAACATGGGTGTTGAGAGGGATTCGATATTTTGAGGATAGATAAAGCTTAGTGATTGTATTATCGTTGATTTGTTGTGGCAAACTGATTGTATCGAATGTAGTGAGTTCATCAGCGTGGACTTGTTGAAATTGATCTTTGAATTCATTCAAAAAGGCTTTTCCATCAGTTGCATAATTATTTGTGATGAGCTCAATGAATGAATAAACAAAAATAGGCCAAAGGAGTCTGCGTAACTCAAACTGTTGCGAGAGATATTAGACATCTTGAATCTCCACGTTGAAAGAATTCTTGCTTACCTTGTAAATATCCAAGTTAGATTCGATCCAATTACTTAATAATCGGAAACCTTTTGCATATTTTGCTGTACCAAGGTCCTCGGCACGTTCTTGAATAGGCTTTCCATCTCTATCGAGGTTGGAAGATTCAGATCGTAGCATCTGCTCAGTTCGATTGTAACCTTTTTTGACGAGGTACTCGATAACCTTTTTATGACGAAGCAAATTAGCAGCCTCTTCCGTATGATAAGAGGGATTTTGGGCGGCAGGAGCATGAGGTGAAGAAATTGAAGAAAAACGAGAAAAAAGAGAGCTATAAGGGCGCGGGGGATTTGGAGAATGTGAGAAGTGTGATGGAGGTTTAACACCAGGGTATGGTGGAACTGGGGGACGAGGAACACCAGGTCTTGGAATACCATTATTTGAAGAATTAGAAGGCACTGCAGCTTGGGTCTGAATGATTCCAGGACGTGGAGTACCTGTTGGTAATGAGTTTGAAGTGGAAGGACGTGAGAGGGAAGGACGTGAAAGGGAAGGACGTGAAAGGGAAGGACGTGGTGGGATTTGCCCAGGTGGTCCAGACATGATGACAAGAAATTGTTGCAAGACTTGTGACAGGGCTATGTAACAAGTTTGTGTGAATAATCTTTGCCAGAAGAGCAATGAGTATTGCAGGAAGTTGTAATGTGGGATTGATTTTGTGGAAGTGAATTAATAAGATTTTGATTAGAAAGCTTGCTGTTTTCGAGATGGAGATGAGAGGAGGGGAAGCAGGGGAAGAAGAACGCTAAGTCGAAACAGGTATCGGGCCTTGAACAAACAAGCAATGTATTGGATTGAGAGAACTTTAACAGTGAACATGTATTTGTTCTCCAGATTTCTCCCAAGCAAATATGTTTGTCAATAGGAAGGCCAACAATGGAAGGCACAAAAACCATGTTTTGAAAACTACTGTACGATGCCAATGCATATAGTACAGAGAATCGTTAAAAATTGTTGAAGTTTCAATCAATTTATCTCCTGAAGTAACAAAACACAATTAAGCAAATTGTTGTTTCAGGAGGTGGTTCATGGTATTCAGCCTGACCACGTGACAATTCCTTCATACTGTTTTCTACTCTGTACATTGACAAACTGTACTATGGCCACCTGCTTCTGCACTAGCAGTATCTTGAGAGAGCATAGTTGTTCTATTGGCAAGGGATTGGATAGATTTTTGGGACAAAGACTTGATTGTATTGATGATATTGATGATATTGATGGCATTGGGTCTTGATGATATTGATGCAACGCTGCTGAAATCCATTGAATTCATATAGAAAGAAGGGAGAACTTACAATCTGATTTAAATTTTGTTGAGACATGAGTGAGCCTGATTGGGGAGGACCTTGGGGATTTTGTTGTGTATTTATTCCAGCACTTGGCGGTCCGTTTGGTTGTCCTGAGGTAGACATGCTTATTGAGAGAATGAGAGAATGAGAGTCCTTCTGCGTGTGATTGGAGCTACCTAGTACCTAGTACTGTATGTACCTTTTACTCGGCTACCTACCTATCCAGACTTTCCGCACTGGTGAGTATTTCTTCCTTTTATAATCTATCACCTAGGTGATACCGTGATACCGCCAGTACTGCCAAACACTTAGCATCTCCCCAAAACCGACGAAAAATCCAACTCAAAATCCTCGACTTTATGTTTAGGAAGCTGCGTATAGTTGATCACGATTTATGGAAAATTTTGAGGCGATTATTAAAGAGAAATAATTAAAAGGATTTTTATTGTTCAAGGCTGATTGCCTGGTAGATAGTGGGAGGTTACTGAAGGTCAAGCTTCATTGAACAATTGGAGTGAAGTTTTGACACTAATGCAGCCGATCCGCAGAGCCGCATTATTAAGGCTGTAACCCCAGACAAAGCATCTCCAAGGTTCTAAGGTTAAGGTTCCGGAGATCAATCAATCTACATAATCATCCTCAAAGTACATAATTCGAACTACAAACTCTTACAACCTCAAAGTACATACCAGAATAAGAAAAAAATCATTTAAAGGTTTCGACTTCCGACTTTCAATCATCATGTCCTCCTCACCGGAAGAAAATCAAACCTCAGCATTCCGACCATTTACAAAAGCGGAGCGCATTCACCAACTCAATGAAATAGACAAGGTGAAAGCTATACCTTTTGACTCATTCTATAACACTCTCTAACCGTCCGTAGAGTATTTTACAACTGGTTCAGACTGCTGGACAAACCCTTAAGATCCTTACCGCAACACAAGAACCTGGAGAATCACAATCACCACAAGAAAAACGTCAAGCTTTCCAAGATGCCTCGAACTCTTATCTAAAAACTTTACAGTCCGTCGATGTAAGGTTACGAAGACAAATATTGGGATTGGAAGAAGCAGACATTATACCCGCAGAAAAGGTGAAGTCGAAGAATAAGGGCAAATCAGGACCTGAAGTTGTGGAAAGACGACCAGCAGTTCCAGGAAATATGGCAGGCAATATGCCAACAGACGATATCGTTGTGGAAAGAGGAATGGGAAATCTCGATATTGGTTTCTTGAATAGTCGAAGTGGAAGAGTTGGTAGAGATATGGAGGCAGAATTGTGGGCAAAGAGTAGAAAGTTTCTTGAGGATTTGGATAAGGGCAATTACAATTCACGTCCGTTAACTCAAACGAGGGATGAGGTTGAGAAATAAAGAATGGTAGATGTGGAGTTGAAATCATAATCTATACAGTTGGATATTCTATAGGACACTTTGATACATCCATACCGGAATTGATCCTTTTGCCATTCAAATTTTGAATCTTTAAAGCTGTGTGTTTCTTACCTATCTGCAATGATGCATTCATGCTCTTGCTTCAAATATGGTGACAGCAGTAAGCTGCGTAAAGGGAAATAAATAACCGACATTTACCCGATCAGCCAAATTCCTACCCTTTACCTTGATCGCAAGATACCTATTATCACACCTTTGATGCACCGTGTACATACTATACCAACACTTTTACTCAGGATTTGTTGAAGAAAGATTGCGAATATCCTACATTCAATTATATTGGTTGCTGTCTTGAATAGCTTTAATCCCTGTAACATACCACGGTACATTCCGACTGTTGTCTGTGCCGCGCGCCGATTAGATATCCATCTTGAATTCATACAAGTATCAACTCAACGTTTTCAAGTACCCTTAATATTTCGTCATGGATTTGGAAGAAGGGGGAGACTCACCTTGGGGCGGTATGTTCTGCCGACCGAAACTACAATTCCGAGAGTGATCAGTATTGACAACTATATTAGATGTCCCTTCTCAAGCTCAATCGACACCAAGCTTACCCAAACCCGAACAATCCGCTACAGAAGGAGGTCAGTCATCATCGTATTGAAGTAGGATTCGAATTTAACTTTGTTATAAAGAAAACCCCGAATCCGCATCGCAAACTCTTGCCCCGCCAGCTTCACAAGGCAAAACACATGCAGGACGTACAATACGAACCCCTCGGCGCGCTGGAGCACAACCGGTTCGACTTCAAGCTTTAGATGATTCTTTGGGGCCACTAGGACCATTGGGTGACAATGCGCCAACATCGAAAGCCGACGAGCCTCCTGCGCCACCTCAGAAAGAACAAACTGTTACCCATAATCTGCGACAACCATTAGCTTCAGCGCAAAGCTCTACTATAAGTCGAAGTCTGTTGGATTCAGTGGATTTGAATGAGGATGTTGAATCCAGTACTGGACCTCGCATACCACCTCCTGTTCAACCATCTCAAATAGGTTCGGTTCGAAGAGAGTCAACACCTAGTGTGAGCATCGAACAAGCTGCCAAACCTACTTTCAATATTACAGTCGGGGATCCACACAAAGTTGGAGATTTGACCAGTTCTCATATTGTGTACTCTGTTGAAACAAAGGTAGGGTATTTCAACTCCAAGGAAGTATCGGTATAAACTAAACATAAATTAGACATCCTCTAAAGCATATCGTCAACCGGAATTTACTGTCACTCGAAGATATAGGGACTTTTTATGGCTTTACAACTCTTTACATGCAAACAACCCTGGTGTTGTTGTACCTCCACCTCCTGAGAAACAGGCTGTAGGAAGATTTGATACAAATTTTGTTGAATCTAGGCGTGCTGCATTGGAAAGAATGCTTAATAAAACAGCTGCTCATCCAACGCTTCAACATGATGGGGATTTGAAATTGTTCTTAGAAAGTGAGGCTTTCAATGTTGATGTCAAACATAAAGAACGAAAAGAACCTGGACTTGGTGAGAGCAAAGGCATGTTCAGTGGACTTGGTATTTCTGTTGGTGGAGGAGGAAAATTCGTTGAACATGATGATGTAAGTTTATTATTTTTCTAGGAGTTTGAAGTTGCTGACATGGTTAGTGGTTCCACGAGCGACGCATTTATTTGGATGCTTTGGAGAATCAGCTTAAAGCTTTGTTGAAAGCTATGGATGTTGTGGTTACCCAACGTAAAGGTCTTGCTGAAGCTGCAGGTGATTTCTCTGGTTCTCTTCGAGCACTCTCAGCCGTTGAGCTCTCTACATCATTATCCGGACCCCTTGAAAGTCTTGCGGATTTACAAATCAGAATTAGGGAACTTTATGATCGACAAGCACAACAAGATGTATTGACTTTGGGTATCACCATTGATGAATATGTTCGTTTGATTGGGAGTATCAAACAAGCATTCGGTTCACGTCAAAAAGCATGGCACTCATGGCATGCAGCAGAGGGTGACTTACAAAAGCGTAAGACTACCCAAGAGAAATTATTACGCCAAGGGAAATCACAACAAGATCGTTTGAATCAAATGCAAGGAGAAGTTGCCGATTCTGAACGTAAAGTTCATCAAGCAAGATTATTGTTTGAGGATATGGGACGTCTCATGAAATCCGAACTTGATAGATTTGAACGTGAAAAGGTTGAGGATTTTAAGAGTGCCGTGGAGACATTCTTAGAAAGTGCTGTGGAAGCTCAAAAGGAGGTAAGTTATTACATTTATTAGATCAGAGACATCATGCTAATATTCCTAAGCTTATCGAACTTTGGGAAACGTTCCTTATGCAACTTGATGCTGAAGAAGATGAACAATTATTTTATAAGCCACCTGTGGAACCAGCGGCACGTCCTTCTTCAGAAACTGGAATCTCAGGTGAAACTGCTACAGACTCACAAGCTGCAGCTGTAGCAACCGCTGAAGAAGAAGATTAATGAATGACACAATGATATCACGTTTTTGAAAAGTAATTGGGTGGGGAAAAAAAGATGAAGAGAATGTCACAATTATTAAATCATGAGGTGATTGTGGTATGCTGGTTGTAGTATTTTTGTACATAGAATAATATTTCAATTCTGAACGCCCAATCCTGATCTCTATGCATTTCTTTTCACCTCCTTGACAATGTATTTGTACATGTATACATGGCAAGATGAGGGATGTTCTCTCAGTCATCGTACAATCCTACTCGATATGTATGATAATCTCTGAAGCTCTGGAGGGAGAATAACATTTCCCCAACTTCAAACCAAGATATTCCCCATCCCAGTCATTATAATAATACCCCTCACTCCACCCCTCAATCCAACCCACTCATTTATTTCTTCTCCTTTCCACTCTTCGTCCTAACAGTTCCCTTCATACTAGCACTATCCCTCTGAGCCCCTCCACTAATCAAATCCATCAAACTATCCATTGAATCTCCCTTCTTGCTCTCTACCCCTTCGTCAGCCTTTGCACTCTCTGCATCCTTTGCCAATTTCTCCTCTCCATCTGCCTTCTCGACCTCTCCATCCCATCCCCTTCCGAACCTCTCTCTGAATGCACTCAAACGTCCTGCTTCATCATTCTCAACATTCCTTAATGAATCTAAAGAGGGCTGCCATAAAGGATGATTTCGTGTATCTTTTGTACTGCGGTAAATGGGCGCTGGAGATGTGGATCGAGTGAGGTAGGTTGAGCCGTCGGATAGGGTAACGAGTTGTGTAAAAGTATATGGTCGAATAGGACGTTTTAAGAGGGTGGCGTGTCGAATTTGGTGGGTGAGGGTAGAGTTTATGGGGAGGGTATTGGAGGTAATGGAGGAAGTGCGGCGGAGGGTGAGGGATGGGAGGGACATGATTTCGGCGTAATTTGACGAATGAAGATATGGCGTGGTAGTATTGAACAGAGGAAGAAGCGCCTTTAGATTAGAGTGCCGAAAGGTTAAATTGGATCCGTACAAAATATCGGGTTCCTCGTCGCATTTGACGAGGCTTGCATCTAGATTTGTTTTCTGAGAACTTTTCTACGGTATGCGTATTAGACCAATGACGTTGTGAATATAATTTTCAGCCTTGTGGAACCTTGTATGGATGCACAGCGCCTTGCATATCTGAATATATTTTTGACTCAATTGACGACGGAATCGAATTGAATTTTACGTCGATTGGTTTAGGGAGGGCTGCAGCTTTGTAGTATTTGGGAAAGATGATATTCACTAGGAATTCACGGAGTTTGCTTTATACAAATCAAACTTCTGTTGTGGGAGGTTTTCATGAATTATTCTGGAGATGGAGCTCACTGGAAAAGAATTCTAAGAAATGTATAGTATTCTTCTTATTTACTTGTAATTTCTTGTATATTTACTTTACTGATATTTGAGTTTGAATCTTCTAGATCACACTCATTCTTCTCGACACAATGCATTTCCAAAATGTATTCATCAGCAATCAAGAAAAAGCAGCAGCTTGTCCAATCCTTCAGATTCAACCAGCGCCGTCAAATCAACAAATAAACCTAAAGATACCCCATTAGAAGCCCCCAACAAGTCACCCAAACTCAATCAACTCGCCTTAGATGTTCGTCAAGTAATGCGCCATGTACCGCATTCCGTCGTAATCCTCACCACTCCAAATCTTCATCCGAAGTCTGGAGAACCTTCAATAGCAGCAGCAGCTATGACTTTATCCTCTTTTACTACCCTTACCCTCTCACCAGAACCTATCATCACATTCAACATCAAGCGTCCTTCTCGAACACTCGATGCGCTAAAAGCATTATACCCCGTTGGGTTAGCATCATCATCCGCAAAAGATAATCCCGATAGATGGTTTCACATCCACATTTTAGAAAGCAACACATCAGGTGCTCAACTTGCCAGCCATTTTTCTCGCGGTGGACCCATGCTCCCGGAAGATCGCACGTTGCTGTATTCTCCTGGCGCCATTGCAGATGTAACCGCGAGAGGTATTAGACAGACGTTTCATTGTGAGATTCTGAGGAATCATGAAACTAGTGGATTTATTGATGTAGGAGATCATACGTTGGTTTTTGGAAAGGTGACGAAAATTGGGTTTGGGAAGGAAGTGGAAAAAGTCAAGGGAAAGAAGAAGGAGTGGAGGGGTTTGTGTTATATGCAGGGGAAATATCAAATGACGATGCCTATGTTGCATGCTGATAAGAAGAAGGATGTAACGGCTCAAGTTAATGGAATTGAGGGTACTGTAGAAGATAATGGGATCGAGGGCAAGTAAAAGTTTGCCGGAGACGGAATGCAGAGAATTCAGAGGACGGGTCTTGGAGGGTGAAGGAAAGAATTTAGCGTCATGAGCACTAGTTCGTGGTATGTATAAAGAATCTCATGTCTTCACTTGTAAAGCTTGTTTTCAGGATGTATTGTGTTATATTGTACTATCATGTTGGGTATCCACGCGCCAGAACTCCCGCAAAGTCACAATAATGTACCTAAGTAGGCCATGCCCAGAAATACCCATCCATCCATTGAATCGTGCCATCATAGGAGTTTGTACCCGTTCGCTTGCCGCATTTGTCGCATGTCGCATGTCTAATCCTAGTCTGCTCGTTAGATGTCTTTCCCCACCAAATTTACTCGTAAGTGTACATACCCAAAGCAGCAAGTTGCGAAAAGGCTTCTTCTTAATTGTCGTTTGCCTGATCGGCAACGAGCTAGTTGACTGTTAGTCAAGGTCTCTTCAGTATCGGCACCAATCAAACATACCTTAATCAACAAAGCAGCACGATCATCATGCTCTCCCTCCATATCATCAAGTTGGTCTCGATTGATAGAGAGTCTATCTCTAATCGAGCCCCAGTTCTTGTACAACTGGTCATCCAAATGAGATAATGGGAACTTGGCGTACTATTCGTGAACCTTGACCCATGTACGGTCGACTTTGAAAAGTTGCATGGCCATGGTCCCTATGCAAATCATCAAAGGTTAGCTTTCCCAGTCTTTTATACCTACGTAGGTAAGGAAAGAAGAAAAACTTACACTTATACTTCTCGGTATAAACGCACTTCTCCTTGGTGGTGAGCAAAACCATGATTCCGGGAGGTAGGAAGACGGTTCTGGGAGGTGGGAGGGGAAGATCCTGTGCGCGACACTCAGCTCGGCGCTTTGCGGCTCTGGTCTTGTATTTCTTGACCTTGACCTTTGTCTTTGCCATGATGATTTATTTGTTGAAGAAGGGATTGAAAGAGAATTTCTTTGTCTGAGATGGGTTGGGTGGGTGTCGATGGGTGGGAAGTGGTTGTTTGGAATTGAAAATTGTTGGAAGGAATCTTGATTGATATGCTAATTATTAAGCGAACTACCCCTCGAGGGGGAATTAGCTTGGGAATTTTAGTGCGGTATTTTAGTACAAGAGGTAGTGTGGGGTGAATTTTAGTAGGTTATTGTCTGATGTGTGGTTTGAAGTTTACGTTGTATCTGAACCTGAACTATGCAGTATCTCATCTCTTGTTGATATATCTAGAAGAGTTTACAAAGTTGGATTCTTGATTTTGATGGTAATTCAAAAGCTGTTTTTAGAAGAGAACTGTACTGAATCAAGAGGTTGTGCAATTTTAAACCATCTCGTCGGGTGTTATACTGCTAGGAAGTGCTTTGTGTTGAGCTAGAAGTTGAATCTTTGAGAGGCACTTTTAGGCATTGAAAGGATTCGAATAGTACTATATTGCTACTTTCCAGGGCCCTGTATACATCTCGTCGAATAAATAAAGGTCAGGAGTTATACAGACTTTGTTCATAAATGTTGGTTTCGAAGTGCAGTTTCTTATGTTGAGAGATTTCGAGAGGTCAATTGTCTAGAACTTTGTGTGTTTTGATTGATTCTCGTCGGGTTTCGAGAGGATTGGAACAAATACAGCTTGTGTTGAGTTTCGAATTCTGAGATATGATAATGGATGTTAAAAGGAAGTAAAAGGTACATGGCTTAAGGAACTATCCAGAATTAGGTGATTTCCATCGAGCTTTGAGGGGATTTGAACTATTGTGATCAAAGTAGATTTGGGAATTTCATTCAACACTTGCAAATACCAAAGGGGGTCTCAGCATGCATAGGGCTCAGCACATTCCAGGAACTTAAAGAGCTCTTATCGATTATTGTTCAGCCATTAATCCAACAGCCAAACTACATTTAGAGATGTCATGTCAATTTCTTGTTATGTTAGAATTTGGGAATGGCCTTTCATGGAAGGGAAAGTAGGGAATCTAAGCTATCTTGTCGAATTTCTCAAAGCTAGCTTATACTTAATGATCTAGAAAATCCAGAATAACTATGTTATCTTCTAGGGGTTTTAAGAATTGGGTGTTGATGTATCTCTTTCATAGATGCGGTCTTTGGCACTTAACTACGTGATGTTGTGATCTATGGCATTGTTATTATTTACGAAGAGAGTGAGTTTAAAGAACTGTTTGTTCATCTCTACAAGTAACATTGTATGCATAAGACCCAAGTAAAATTGTATACATAAGACCCCTAAAGCCTAGTGTTTGTGGGACCATGAGTGCTGGCAAGTATAGTAAAGAATGACAAGCTGGCCTATCTGAGGGGAATCGGGCATGTTTATCGCAACATAATCATTAAGCTATCTCAGCATATATTTCGAAGCAGAAATTTATCTACACCACTGGATACATGATATACTGAGTTTCTTCCTCCAAGATCAGCATAATGACAAATGATAACTGTCACAAAGTCAGGATATGGGCAGTCTCACGAGTCGGCTCCATGAAAATGATTCCAGAACTTTCACTTCGAAACAAATCATGAGTATAAATCATTACTTTGCTGTCATATTTATCCTTCTGAACTGAATACTAACGAGTAGAGCACTAGCATCTATTGATGTTAGGCACAGCAATGTTGACTACAAAGTGTAGATACTGCGCCCCAAGAAGCGGCACCAACATCACTTCAGACCGACGAAGAGAATGACACCTACAACTCCACCGCACATGAAAATGTTCAGAATTGCTCAACCTACTGGAAATAGCTAAGTTACAACTCTCGGTAGTTTGAATCGACTAGTAGAATTCGATTAAGCGATAAGATAGTGTGGCGTCACTACTGTTCTGGGTAGACTGGATCATTGGTAGGAGAGTATTGCAACAATAGAGCAACTTTATGAAGAGAGGAGTCTTTAGTAGCGAATACCTCATTTCGAGAATACGCTGCTCATCAGACTATTTATACCTCAAGCTTTTACCGTCAAGTCCGCTCGTTTGCACACGGGAGTCCATACGAGCGCAAAGTCTATCCAGTTAATTTTAACACGAAGTTGCAAAACCTATATTTTTCTGCGCTCTCACAACTGTCTGTGGTGAAAGGCGGCTCATGCTCGACCTTTCCTGGTGGTTTAAAATCTTCCCTTTAAGTCTAGTGAACGTATCACCCCGTTCGATGTTGATGCCATTATACTCGTTGATTCCCAATCTTACACTTTGATTCCGTGGCATTTGCGTATATTCGTTGAGGAGAACTTCCATCCTAATCTTACGACATCCTTCGTTGGTTACAATTGTCATTAAGATAGGAGTGCAAGTTGTCTTTATTCCTCAAAACTACAGTTTCTAGTAGTTCACATTATGGCAATTATAATCTTAAAACAAGCAGCCTCGAGTAGGGGGTTGGTATGGTCAAATACTTAAGAAACAGTAGCAGGAACTCATCTCGAAGCGACAGCCAAATCCTCGAATTAGATGCCCACCAGATTAATGGGCCGGATTGAACCCAGATAGGTAATCCACTTGACGTCGTTTTAATCTCTATTTAACGCTACGATGATGTGGTTTTGTAAGTCAGTTCATAAATATGTCATGAGTCCTTCGTCGTGTAAAATAAGTCAGTGCTATACTTAACCTTCAAATTCGTGGATCTCAGTCAATACAATTAAGTGAGCCCGTAATTTCTTAGCTTTAATATAACAATAATAAAATCTTTTAACAAATATCTTGTTGAAGGATAGTTGAAGGATATTTTATTTCATATGAAAACTTATTCGACAGATAGGTGACTTTTGATTATTTGTTATCTATTCGAGAAACGCATATTTTCATATTAAGATCTGTTCGTCAACTAAATCTCCTCTTCGACCTTACCTTGATATGTTATTAATTTCACATATATTTTGAAGATTACTGTATACATATCGTCTCGACTAACCTATTCAATATCCAGATCAAATAGTCGATTAGATTATAAATACTTTATATTGTAACTTCAAATTGAAAACTAATACCTATTCGAGAAATACCTCTCTTTAATCCTACATTCACATGTTAGTAGATTTGAATACACTTTTATTGAAACTGAAATATTAAAAATCAATTCAAGTAATCGTTCAATATTAATTCAGTATCTAGAATTCTTATATGATTGAATTATAGTCACTATGATTAAATTTTAGTAACTATCATTCAATCTTTAAATAACTTACTAATAACTATTCGGCAAATGCTTATTCTTATATTAATATCTATTCGATATCTATCTTTCTCTTCAGTCTCATTAAGTTAACATATACTTTCCAAATTATATATACATTTCTATAAAAAGTCAATCTTAATAATTTTTTTAATATCTAGAATTCTTGAATGATTAAATTATAATTACTATATATGTTTAATCTGTATATAATCAACTAATCAATCTTTCTTAATAACTATTCGATAAAGACTTAACGTGATTTATCATCGAGTGGACTATATCATCGAGTGGGCCATCATTTTTACATACAAAATTTTTTTGTATATAACTATGCACTTTCTTTATTTATTAATAGAATTTTTTAAAAATTAAAATTATAAAATTTAATTATATAATTACTATAAAAATCTCATTCTTTATTAAAAATTCGAATTAATATAAGAATTATTATTAGAAATATTTTTTTATAATAAAAATCATAATAATTTTCATTTTTTTTAATATAAAATGAAAATATTTATATAAAAACTAGATTTTTAGAAAACTAATCTTTTATTATTATTTAATCTTTTTTCTTTTTCTAAAATAATGATTAGTTATTAAAATACAAATATTCAAAAAGCCTTAATTTTGGTGTATTTTGAAGTGGCCCACTCGATGATATAGTCCACTCGATAATAAATCACGTTATTTATATACTAATATTTATTCAACTAGTTAATGTAATACCAATTGTAATAATTCTTATGAATAATCAAGCCAAATTAATACATTTTCGATGATACTTTATTTTAGAAAAAGTACGAAAGTAGAATGTAATTTATTCTTAAAACGTACCTATATAATCGAGTAATTAGATTACGATCCGAGCTTTATGCAGAATATATTCTATTGAATAGCTGATATCAATTAGAGATTTCTTTAACGAGTAGATTTTAATTATGAAGTCTAATTCTCAAAATTATTCCTCTCTTCGAGGAGTTTTCATATATATAGTAATATTCGATTTAAAGACATTTATGAGATTTTAGACGGATTTCTATAACCTTTTTTCGTCTATTTGACTAAAGATTATTCGCGTGTAATTATCTAGTCGAGGAACATTTAAGCTATTTTCCCCGATTAAGAATTTATACGATGAAGCCTACAAGTCTGAACAAGAAAAGAGATCATATGAATAAAAGTTGAATAAATAGCTTTAAGTCATTTATAGCTTGTAACAAAGGAACTAGTTTTACAGCAAGGCGTATTCAAGGATTGCTTTTTCCCGTACTTGACTAGCTCATTAGACTAAATACATATTGATATTGTCAACTAGAATTTACATCTTAGGTTCTGATGTTATTCGTACTCTTCTCAAGTCAATAAAGAGAGTTGAATAGAAACTTTTAACAGGGTTAAAAATTCACAAAAGAGAATCCTAATGAGTGAAACAGTGAGGAGTCTTTAGACAAGAAAGGGATGAGAGATCTATCCCGGTGCCATAACCCAATCAGAGAATCGAGTCAGCCTCGCCACACGGCAGCATAGAGTACCATGTCATGCCTCGCTCATATATTATGCCGTCTGACAATGCAATCGCGATGTTGTAGCGTTTTTATACGCCCAAGTGTGGTCGTCGAGATAAGGTTCACATAAGTACCAGGTCCCGTCGAGTCTTTGGGACTAGTCATTACTGCGCCACCTAGTTGCGATCTCCAATGAGGCTAAAAATTACCCGATTAGACGAACCCAAAGAATATCTATCCACCTAGGTAGGTAGATAATTAATATTTAATTTTGATATATCCAAAATAAGATTTTTATTTTTCTAACTAATCCAATTTGATTCAACAATAATGTCCCACAATCACCGCGTTGCAACTACGCCGACCAAAAGTTGGGTTTGAGGATATTTAAAGTTGGAAACATTTAATACAGCTTCAAGAGTCAAACGTCAGTTAACTACAGCTCTGTTTGAATTTGCAAATTGCCAAGTCCTTACAATCGCAGTCAACGACGCCATGGCAAGCTTTCTACCTCCGAAATCGCTGGTTTTTGCGACCGGCATCGCAGTCACAATCGGCGTATTGCACACCAGTGTTCAAAATCTTATCATCAACACAGTCACCGGACCCGGCAGCTACTCGCGCATAGCTATTGCTATCTTAGTTCTTGGGAATCTCAAAAATCTCCCAGGAGTCTGACATGTATGTGATTACCCCTCCATTTCAATTTCTCGAACAACCCATATCTAGGTACAAGAAGCTAATAGACCCAGTACCGAGTTCTCAAGGGCCTATTTCAACACTTGATTTTCAGCAAGCGATATATTCTTGCAGAACTAGGCCCCGTATCTCTCTTTCATTCCATCGTCAACCCCTCACATTCCTCGCTCTGGAAATGCGACTACAATGCCCACAAATCGAACTCGACGTACTTCTCCGATCTCGAGGTCACACGTGCACATCTCGTTACATGTTTGCTGTAGCCGGGTATCAATACATTAAGGAGCAACAAGAAGACGGGGTTGGTGCTCGGTGTTAATGGGAAGAAGATAAGGGGACGCTGGGGTATCATCTTGGGAGGTACGAGCTGTAGCTTCAGAAAGGATGTTGCCCCGTATGAGTCGTATGAGATGTGGAATCGGTTGTTGTGCTGGGATAAGAAGTGGATTTATATTGTTACGCATTTTGTGAAAAAAGGGAAGGTTAAACCTAAGGTTTATGTTTTGGGCGATGGTTCTTGGTTTGGTGGACGCATTGCTAGGTTTTTGACGCAGGAAGGAAAGGCAGAGAAGATTGAGGAGATGTATATCTTGGCTACTGGTATTAGTAAATATGTCATCAAGTTGGGTATAATAACGATCCATCCTGAGGTGTTATTAGCTTCGCGTGGGCTTTTGTCGGAGAAACCATAATTTCACTCCAGAAAAAGCGTCAACCATCTATGATGTACGTAATTGTCGGTTTTTTATCCTCGCAGTTCTGTCCTGTGTGGAGAACAGGCTGAGAGTCCACTGACGGCCATGCCAAGAGCTGATAATTATTATCAGGCTGAACTACCAACCCAATATTCCTTGCCTGAATCTCAGCTTGTCACACCTCCCGTTAATTCATTCTAGTCCACCCACTTTTTAACCTCGGCCAACTCAACTGAGTATGTTCTCTTGTCGAATGCCTTCGTACTTCCTTCCGGCACTGTTACAGTCAGGACCTCTCTCCTGGACGCTAGTAACGCAGAGAATTACTGGAAGAGCACAGAAAACCTCCCTCTTCTGACAAATTCAACGACTAAGAACGGGAAGCTTAGCATTAAAGCACCTGACTTTGAGGTTTCTAGCAACTCTAATGATAGTATTTCCACTATGGTCTGGATTGGTTCGACTGATCACTATGAGTATAACCTTACCGTTAAGGCAACGTCTCGGGTCCTTCTAAATGCTGGAACAGGATACTTCTTATGGGAAACGGCAAAACTTCGCAGTGGTCTCTTCCGAGCTGCCAGACTTCAGGCACGTTGACTCTAGGCGACCAGATCCTCCAGGTCGACGAGGAACGCTCAATGACCTGGTATGACCGTCAGTACGGATTTGGCGGAGTTGACAGCGAATTTACCTGGTTTGGGGTTCATTTCCCAAGTTCAGAAGTCAAGGCTAGCATTTGGCTCTCCGATAATGAGGACCCAGTACAGCATTTAAGATTTGCAACTGTTCGCATAGAATACGGTTTGGAAATAATCAGATTCGACGTAACAACCAAGCCGGAAAATACGTGGACTTCTCCGAACTCCAATTACACCTAGCAAACAAGATGGCTCCTTAACTTCGAAAACGGAGACTTTCTTGACATCAAGAGCGTCCGTAACGACCAAGAAATTTACTCAAAGAACTCGAGTTTCTCATCATCACCCTTCACAACTGTAAAGGGAAAGTTCTTTGGTCAGAAGACTGGCTTTGCTATGATGGACATCTTGCCTCCGACAAGCTTACAGGCGGGCAGTTCAGTATTCTAAACAGCGAATGATGGGAACTGTCCGACGCGCTTGGGTAGAAACGAAGCCGATTGTGGACAAGCAAAAGCGTTTTGAACCCTTTCGCAAGTCAATCGATTAAGAAACGGGGGGGTTTTAGTAATTCTACAGTCCCCTCAATGATTACTTAGAGTAGAGCCATATAAAAATTTCTTAATTCAAGTTTGCCCATGTCTTCTAACATTGGTGATTGTGTGCATCGTAGCTTTCTGAAACACATCTAGAGATTAGATCCTCTTCCATTCTACACAACTTGTGGTTAGTTAAAATTAAAATAATAATAAGAGCAATTACGTGAAAAGCAGGAATATATCCACGGTTTGATGATAAGCTCGATTCCCATGGTCTCGGCTGCTACAGCAAAATGATTTTGCTTGATAGAACAAGCTTATTCATAGCGAGAATAGGCCTTGTCATCGTCCTCCGGGATCAGCTTTTTTCCCGGAAGGATACTTTCTAACAGAAATATTAGAATGATTCTTGTGTATATAATGTATGATTGCAAAAAATTACTTGGAAAGATATCTGCAGATAGCTCTGCTTTCGAACATGAACCCATCATCAGTTAATATAGGCACTTTTTCAAAGAGCTGTAGCTTCTTAAAGTCGTTGATTTTCTGCTCCCCTTTTGCAATGTCAACAAAGATCCGTTCGTATGGCAACTCTTTCTCGGGAATTGTGACCAAAATGCAGGATGTGGACATAGCGAAGCTATAAAGTTTGAGAGCCATTGTTGCTATTTATAAATTGAATGAAGTACTAAATTATTAATGAGAGGGGAAGAATTCTTTGAATAAACCTAAATTATTCGGTACCAGTGGGAGAAAGCTGCGAACTTTTAAATGCGGGGAATGAAGCTGTAGTGAGAACTAGAGAGCTAGACTAAGGTGAAATGGTTTGTAAGAGTTGAGGCCCCGGCTTATCGCACATTTAAGCGAGATTAGAGTAGCCACCTAATTTCGCATACCTTATTTTAAAAATTCAATTATTATTCTAAAATTCATTATTTTCAACTCAAATTCAAAATGAATATTAAGTATAATCACAAAAATAATAGTTATAAATTTTATCAAAATTGATATACTCCTTAATATTCTAGAATTATTTAAACTAGAATTAATAGAAAATTCTAGGGATAGATTACCTCAAATTTAGATATATTACAATTTATTATAAGAAATATAATTAAATTCAATTTGATTAAAAGAATTCGAAAAGGGAAGGCTTATTAAAAGCCTATAATAATTATTAAAAAGATTTATTGAATTATAAAAATAATTATTAAAGATTGGAGTAAAAGGAGGATAATTTTTAAATAAATTAAAAATATATTTGGTATTAAAGTTTTAGTATATATAATTCGAAAAGAATTATATTGATATAGATATAAAAGATGTATAATATATCCTAAGCCTTTTATCTCAAGGATATAAGTAAAAAAGAGATTAGATTTTATATATAAATATTATTAATAAGAAATTAGTAATATTATTATTACTAAATTAGAAGGGGGAAATTAGAAGCTAATTATATAATCAAACAAAAGCACTTTCGAATTGAGAAAAGCGAGTAGAATATAGATTATTAAATAGATTAATAAAAAGAAATATACTAATTATATTAAATTAATATATCAATTAGAAAGAATATTAATAATAATATAAAATACAATTAACTAAAACTATAAATCTCTATTAATCTTTTTGAAAAGGCTTAAGAATAATAAAGATATTATCTTCAAAATATATATATAATAAATCCTTAAGTCTATTATATTTCCATTATTCAATAAACTAGAATTTAAATATATATTCATAAAAAATAATTTTAAAATATATTTCAAATATACTTATAAAACTCAATTGAAGTATAATATATAAGGCTTTAATTAATTACCCTCCTCTTCGAATCTTAATTCAATTAAGAAAATATAACAATAAATAAATAAAAAACTAAAAAAACTATTATTTATACCTATTTCTATAAAAAAATTGAAATATAAATTACAAACTCTTTGGAATAAAATGAATCCCTTAGATTTCAGATTATATATTGAGAGATTGATTTATAAGATTGAAAATGTAATTGAAGTATAAGGATTAGCTATTATTTATTAATATAATACTTAAGTTTTATAAAATTATATTGTATAATTGATTTATTATTAAATTTTAAAAAATTAGACCGAAAAATGAGTGGTGTGCGATAAGCCAGGGCCTCAACTCTTACTTTCGGGCTTCGGCAAGGGATGTAGCCGCTAGTGCTTAATCTTGCCGACATAAAAACGTGATTATGGAAATTTTGCGATAATTGGAGTACAAGCACTAGGAAATTGTGAGTAGCAGCATGTTGTAAGCACTAAAAATGAAACTGAATTCGCATCATGAAGATATGGGTTTTTTTTTTGGAACTGAGATGATTCCAGTAGTTCTTTAATACAGTCCTCAGCAAGTACACGGCAAAATAGTTAACAGAAACCTTCGCTTCAGAACGACATCAGAGTAGTTTTAATTATCAGATCTCTCGTTAGTCACCATTACTTTCACCGGTAACCCATCCCATGTCTCTGTCGCTGTTGTCGGCCTAGCATGCTGCTTCCCAGGTAATGCTACTTCACCATCGAAGTTCTGGGACCTCCTAAAAGATGGGAGGGGTAAGTGATCTCAGTATGATTTATTTTTTGGAATTGCTTGAAATTGCACTGACAATCTCGAAGATGCCTACTCCCCAACAAATAACGCGGATGCATTCTACCATCCCAATAGTAACAGTCGGCAAAACATCTTGGCTAGTAAAGGGAGCCATTTTCTCAAACAGGATCCATATACCTTCGATGTAGCATCATTTAATATCATGGCAGTGTAAGCCAATTTAATTGATCTCAAACAGCACATAGCCATGGAAGGCGTCTACGAAGCTCTGAAGAATGCTGATAAAACGCCAAACAGAATTTTAGGCACTGAAACTGCGTTCTAATCGGATTCTCGATAAGTGATTATCAAGAAGCTGTTGTACGAGACTTTGAACATAGTCCCGAGTATCATATTTCAAGAAACTGCGAAGAGATAATCTCTAATTTCGTGTCCCACTTTCTAGATATTGATGTTCCTAGTGTTACCATTCACACGGCTTGCTCATTAAGTCTTGTTACGACTAATCTTGGCTATCAGAGTTTACAATCGGGAGAGTCAGAAATGGTCAAAGTTGGGGGTTTGGTATGATCATCAGCCCGGATGGGAATATGCAACTAAGCAACTTGAGATTTTTGAACTCCGAAGATCAGCACTATTGACCCGATAAAATCATTTTAAACCAGCCCAGCCCAGTTCCCCTCTTTTCTTTGATGTCACACAATTTTCTTGTGCCGTACTCTTACTTGCCAGCCAGTCATATTTGCATAAGCAACGACATGCAACTACAGAAGCTTGCATCCAAAATGATTTATGGCTGCAGCTCAAAGCAAGTTTCGACAAAGTTTTCTGTTACTAGGAAGCCACTAGGAAGAGTTACAAAAAGTCTATTACGCAAGCCTAGAGCAATCAAAAGACATCGAGAGCTTACGGGAAGAGTTTGTACAAAAGTGACATACAAGTGTGAGCGACGTCACTAAAACTCCCCGGTTTGTGATTTGTTTCCCAGCATAAACACAAGACTGATCTATCAATTCCCTAAACAAGACTTCTACAATAGATTCACACGGTCTATACAAGTTTCTGGATGGTAGCAAACAGGCGAAGCAAAAATCACCCTTCCTGGGCAGCACTTGAAAGAGACTTCCGCAAGCGTGGGTAGGAACAGATACACTGGCTGCAATTTGAGAGATACCCTTATTGGCTGGTAGAATCTAATCAGCTAAAGCGGTACCAAATCCGCTTGTTCCACTCTTTGTCACTTTTTCATAGTAGCAGTATATCCTGTTGTGCATAACCAAATGTACACATTCAGCTGTATACATAGCAAAAACTAGTATAATCCCGACAGTTTCTTAGGGTTACCCCCGATCCCATGGAGATGAGCAATAGCCATTGAGATTGATATCTGCAGGAAAGAACTGAGAAGTACTCATTCAGCTCGCAAACTCACGATCTGAAAAGCCATGCATATACTCCTCATTCGCATCCTATGAAATCCGGGAAGAAGCCGCCTTTTGTAAAGAAGAATCATGATTTGGTCACACAAAGCGAGGCCCTTGATATGCACTCCGTTTTGAATGCATGTGAAACAACTTCCGGAGTTGTTTGCTTTGGAAAAGTACGAAACAATTGCATTTGATGCCGTTAAACGTCACACAACATCGCCAAGTCCTTTTGATCTGCGCGTACTAGGATTTGATCGGTTCTTTCAGCTGTTCCGCCCAGATCAGCCCCACACTGTGCACCATAATCTTGTAGATCTCTTCCCTTCCGTTAGGAATTGAGATCTGAATAATCTCTCCTCCATGTGATTGATCAAATCTTCGATCTTTCTGCAGCTAGAATGGTACACACTATCGAATTATGCATAACTATGCAAAACTAATGCATTTCTAGGTTTTCGATTGAGAGCTGTTCTGTATCGGAGACTTCCAAGGTTCCCCACCGTACCCGAGCCGTACTCCACACCGACATCTTCGTCGCATTCAGAAGATTTATGTAAAGTCATCATGACATGAATTTGACAAATATTCTACTCTATATTTAAGCCATTTATGGGATGGTGTAATGTGAATATCAAGGACACGGGAACATGTAACGTGTCGATCTTTCCATCATATGTTTCGAGCATTGGACACG